GTCATCCTTGTCGATGTTGGCATGATCAGCAACTCTAGTTGTGCAGTTATTGTAGTTGATGGACTGCACATGGTATTTTCCTGCAAGGAAGTACAATACTGTCTGATTATTCTCACAGGATAGCTCATACATAGAGTAACCGCAGTTTGGTAGATCCCCTTCTAACCAAAAAGGAGTCCTAATGTTACGGAGATTGCCACAGGAAGAAGGAGGAGAAAGGTGATCATTAGTTTTCGCACTGCAAGTTTGGACTTGGAGGCATATAAGAAGTATAAGAAAAGCTGCAGTGAGAACTACAAAGAGCTGAGACCTTCTTACAAACACTCTAGAGAAGGTGAGAAGTTAGTATCATGAGGGTGTATATCACCATCAAGAATACGGTAAAATGAAGATATAAAAACAAAATATCTATTGAAAGTAAAGCATCTTTGCTGATGTAGATAATGATTCGGAAGGATTATCTGAATATTATATTCATCCGTTTGTCAAAACCTAGAGCTTGGCAAATTAATAGCTTTGGATTTTTCAAATGCTGACGCATCTCCATTAAAAATATATTAAGATCTGAACCTCATATCTGGAATGAGATTGTGGTTTTACCATAATCCATGGTCAGAAAGGATACTAAAATAACGGGGTCCAGGAAAGTTGCTAATTAGTGGAAGGATTATATAATACATTGAAGACAATGGAATCCTCATATCTGGGATTAGCTTGCTTATTTCTAATGGTCAAATCATTCATTTGGGTATGTTATTGCAGAAATCACGAACAATCAATAAGGATTATGATTTATAAGGTGACCTGTACATTTGACTGAGACAGCATGGTTTTAGCATTTGTTTAATGGTCACCAATTTAAGCCACTGTCTTTTTCGAATCCTTTGTTTCAAGAACAAGTTATATGCGCATTTGTCATTTCTTTTGCAGGAGCCACAAGAAAGATAGTTGCTATAGGTTAGCTCTCTGCGCATTTGGCATTATAAATTTTGTAATTAACATTTTCTTGCCTGCACTAGTTGTGTAGAAGATATGGATTCTAGACAAGAAACTTCTGTTATGCAGTTACAGCTATTGGTTTGTTTCTTGTGGTGCTAGTAGTGCTTGCATTCCACCGCAGGTATATTTCTGACAAAGCAGCAAAAGAAAACCAACAGAGAATTGAGATTATAAAGCTCTCAAGCCTGCACGATATTCATATGCCGACATCAAAAGGATTACAAATTGACTTTAAGGAAAGTTTGGGTCAGGGAATTTATGGAGAAGTGTTTAAAGGAAAGCTTTCTGATGAAATCTATGTGGCTGTGAAAATACTGAACAATTCAGCAGGAAATGGGGAAGCGTTTATTAATGAAGTGGGAACAATGGGAATAAGGATTGAGTAAAAAAGAAGGAAAGAAGAAAATTAAAATATGATGATATGCCTTTGCTAAAATCATATTAACACAACTATCCTTTTTAACAATCTCTATCATGGGTATCAGAATTTGATATAGCATCCATCACTAGAACATCATTCAGAGATGATTCAACTGAAGTTAAATCACTACAAAGATTTTTACGCTTTAAGCCAAGATAATCGATGAAGCTTCTCTAGTGTGATCTAACTCCTGACAGGCTTACTATTGTAAGGGCCTTGCGTTAAGATTCTTCTTCTGATTGAGAGTCCGAGAAAGGAAGCTTGAGTTTCTCATCTCTAATATCATGGCTATGTGTTTTTCTGTTTTTTGCTTATCATTGGCTACCACTTGTGAGGAATTGCTCCTGAAATGATGGGGAAATAATGGGGAGACAGAGATATTTTAAAGCTAAATACTCTGCTTTGCATATCTTAGAGTTTCAATCATCTGTTTTGCTGTGCTGATGTTGATGACAAGGAGGAAGCTTTAAGAGGGGCTGCAAGTTGCTGTAGCTTGGTAGTACTGTGGAGGATAGAGGGTACGGTTATGGATTGACCAGGATTGAATTTAATTTGCTATGAGATAATTTAATCTACTTTAATATCTCATATTTTCCTAAATTGCAAAATTTAATGGTCAGGGAATGATTTAATTTACTCTAATATCTCATTGATATTTCTGAATGGTTAACAAGGAATTGAACATAAAAATAATGCTATTGTTTGGGAATTTATAACCAAAAGGATGAAACAATATTGTGACTAAAATCATGTAAATTGTATCTATTAAAAACCTTCTCTCATAAAAATTTATTGCTCATAGACATTCACTGTCATTATCGCAAGTACATGTGTGCCCTTTTTATGATCAATCCAAGATTTGTAGTGCTATCTATACTCATGAAAGTAAAAAAATAACAACAATTATAAAATAAAAATATTCAATTTGAGAACATTAGTTTGTTGCATGCACTATACTCGCGGATTAAGTAAGCGAAGTGAAATTATTTGAAAAGAATCATTTTAGTTTGATAGTTGCATTATATTGTGAATCTACTTAAATATATCAAATCAAAGAATAATTTTTTTCACCCAATTTTATAATTTTTAATCAAAATTTTTATTTAATTAATTCATCCTTATGTTTTTTCAAAATTTTTACTTAAAAAAAATTATTTTTCTTCTTTATGCATGGATTCTTAAATAAAAACTTGTAATAAATATCTAATTATAAAATTTATTCCAAAATTTTTAAAACATAGATTACTTCTTTTTTTTTTCATATGATTGTATGAAAAAAAAGTAACAAATAATGTAAAACATGTATAAAAATTAACGATTTAAAAAATATTATTTTTATTTATATTTAATGTTGATGAGAAATTTATTTTTAAATGTATATACATTTGGTTTATATATATTTATTCATAAAATAATCAATAATGTTAACATTTACACCGTATTCGAATAATGAAGAGGTTTTAAAAAATATTATTTCAATTATTTTATTTTAAAAAATAGATTTTAGAATATATATAAAAAAATAACTAAATTGTAAATAATCAATATGAGAAATTTTTATTTAAAGAAATATATTAAAAAAATTAACAATTGAAAAAATATTTTTTTCATTTTTATTTAATATTGATGAGAAATTTATTTATAAATGTATATACATTTGGTTTATATATATATTTATTCATAAAATAATCAATAATGTTAACATTTACACCGTATTCGAATAATAAGGAGGTTTTAAAAAATATTATTTCAATTATTTCATTTAAAAGAAATAGATTTTAGAATACATAAAAAAATAACTAAACAAGTAAATAACCGGTGTTTTGTGTATAGATATATAGTTAATTTTCAATATACAAAACCAATGAATAAATATTTTTTATGCATTATAACTATACTGAAACATAAAATGAAAAATATTTCCAAAAAGTTACTTAACTAGTAAAGAATACACTCGATTAAATTTAAAATTAATAGACTAAAATGAAACATTATTACAAAATTAATTTTAACAAATTTTGATTATATAAAAAAGAAGTCAATACAGCACATGAGTTCTATGTATTATATATTTTTTCTTCTTCTTCTTAAAAAAATGTCTGTTTCTGCTCAAAAGAAAAAGGTTTAAATCTTCAATCTCATGTCGCGAGGGATATGACCTATATATAACTATATTAGGTTCATAAGATACCACAGCTTGTAGTGTTCTGTAATTCACCTCAAAATAAGAAGCAGGTAGTTCGATTCCTTTGATTCTTCTCTTCATAGTCAACTTTTGGGGGGATTGTTCATAAATTAATATGAAAAACCTAAGAATACACTGATTAAATTTGAAATTAATAGACTAAAATAAAAATTATTACAAATTTAATTTCAATAAATTTTGATTATATAAAAAAGAAGTAAATACAGCACATGAGTTCTATATATATATTTTTTTTCTTCTTCTTCTTCTAAAAATGTCTGTTTCTGCTCAAAATCAAAAGAAAAAGGTTTAAATCTTCAATCTCATGTGAGGGATATGACCTATATTACTATATTAGGTCCATAAGATACCACAGCTTGTAGTGTTCTGTAATTCACCTCAAAATAAGGAGCCGGTAGGTCGATTCATTTGATTCTTCTCTTCATAGTCAACTTTTGGAGGGATTGTTCATAAATTAATATGAAAAACCTAAAAACTTATCATATATATATATATATATTATTATTATGAGATTGCGTGGAAAACCGAAAAAATAGTTACTCATTTTTCATAATTTTGACATCCAATTCAATAATAAATAAATAAATAAAAACTAAGCCAGGCCTGTATCCTTAGGCTTGCAAAGCCTAGCACGTGCGGCCCAGTAATATAAAGTGGGACAGAGCGTCGCTTGTGCTGTACACAATCGATGAGGGGTGTTAATTAGCACCAACTTTTGGCGAACTCGAGTTAATAATGAATTACCAAAAACGATATTAATAATTGAGAATTTTTGAAGTTAAAAAAAAGTTCTATAAACTTGAAATTTGATAAGAACAGTAACTATAGAGCGAGAACAAAAGAGAAAGAAAAAGAAAAAGTGGCAATCAGATTGAGATAAAAAATAATTTAATGATATTGTTTATCTTCCTAGTTAGAAAGATGAATTGATTTTTTAGTGAAACAAAAAAATAATTTAATGATTATCTTATTATCTTGTTAGAAAGATGAATAGATTTTTAGAAAGAGATTGATCACACATAAACAAGAAGTATTATATAATTGTTTGAATTAGCTTTTTTTCATAACAATGTTTATTGATTATAAAAAAATAATCATAATTAAACTTAAAATGACATGAATAATTAAGTTTACATAGAAAAAAACCTTAATTCAATAAATAAAATTTAAAATGTCTCGTTTTTATAAATAAGATTTTTAAGTGCCTTAATTTAGGAAAAAATTCTAGCATCCTAATGCTACAACCATATCCTTAGAGCTGTGTCCTTGCATGGAAGGGTGGATATAAACGGTTTTCTTATCCATTCCCACGGTCCCACCTCCGTAAAAAGGAACAAAACTTGCAAACTCCGCCATTTCCATCCGAAACATACAATGGCTGAAGCTATAGCAGGCTTTACCATTGCAAAGCCACATATTCTTAACTCTCTGCAGAAAACAAAATTGGACCTCAAACCATGTTCGAGATGGGTAAAATCTAACTAACCATGCTTGCCATTTTGTGGAAGATAATTTACAGAAGAAGCTCCAAAGCCGATAATTACACTAATCTTGTTTCTCTTCTGTACTCTTTTCAGCTTTGGCAATGTTCCAGCACTAGGCTTTTTAGTGGGTGGCAGCAGGTATGTGGCTCATGACTCTAAATTATTGATTCTTTAAGTTGTGTTGCTTTCCTGCTTTGTTCTTTTGAATAAATGAAATAATATACACAGTAGATTTTCTTTCTTTTTCAATGTCGTCGAATGATTGTATAACTTTTATGCGATAGCCAAAAGGCAGCAACAGGAAAAGAGCTTCCTTAAGTAAAGTGAATGCTTTCCCAGATTGGCCTCTGATGGCAGTTATGGTGGAGCATATAGAAGGTCAAAGAGACCTTATAACCTACAAATCTATATGGCATCTCAGTGATCAAGCCATAAAGAACGTCTGTAAGTTCTTTTTCTTTTTTTCTTTTTAACTCATTTATTTCATCCCACTATTTACTCTTTATCATTAGTAGTTTTGCACCGAATTTGAGTTTCTCTAATCTTCTCTTTTTCTCCTTATAGATGTTTTTTACATTATGTTCACTTGCTGGGGATGTTTATTCTTTGGTGCAATGAAAGTAAGCACGTCTGGTTCTGCATCTAGGATCGATCCTAAATTTTATATACATTTTGGTTAAATTCTAATGTCAAAGTTGTCTTGTACAGGACCCATACTATGATTCAGAGGCATATAGAAAAGATGGAGGAGATGGTAGTGGACATTGGGTATATGACAAGGTATATATGCACATATGGTCCTTCTAAGACTCTGTTCATTCTGATATAATGCTACTCTCTAGCCATCACCGCTTAGAAGAAAGATTGTCAACCTAATTGATGTAAACTATGATGCAGCAAGAGGATATTGAAGAATCTGCGAGAGCAGAGCTATGGCGCGAGGAGTTGATTGAGGAGATTGAGCAGAAGGTTGGGGGTCTGCGAGAATTGGAAGAAGCTGGTCGAAAATAGTAGTTTATAATAAAGCAAGGATTGTTAGTATTTGTGATTTCTTTTAAGGGAAACCATAGACCAATCCTTATGCTTTTCTCTAATTCTCAAGCACATCCTTGTAAAAATTCAATAAATCGTAACAACTACATCTTCTCTTCTCTCACACGTCTATTGATCACATCTCAATTCAATTCCATCTTTATCAGAACTTTCAAAATATACTTCAAACTTTCCAGCTAGTATTTTGCATTGATTCTTGAACCTCTTATATCCGTATAGCACCAAGTATCTTGATCAATTTACAGCCAATTGTTGTCGTAGGATCAAATATTCTATGTTCTACGATCCATTTTACCTTAATCATGCCTCAAATATGAATTTTTAAGTCCTGGCATATATATTGTAAGGGGAAAAAAAGAGCGTTTAAAGAATGTTGCACCGTTGCACTAGTTTACGAGCATACTGACTTTGATTTCCATAGAGATTTATGGGAATTGGACGTGATACGGTGCACCTAAATTCCAAAAGAGAGAACGAGAAATGCAAGCCAAATTTTATTAACCAAAAAAACAGGGACAAGACAGTCTACCGTATGAAGCCTCTCCCTCTGTATATAGTTTCTTTGAAATCATTCTATTTCTGATAGAAATAGGATTTTGGGAGTCTATACAGGATGCTGAGATGGAGTTGGAGAAAGCTGTTTATAGTCTCTCCATCAAGTTTTGTTATATATGGATAACACACCATTTAAATATACTTATATAAGTAGGAATTACTTAAAATGTTTTGAAAAAAAAAACTGGACAGGCCTTTTGATTACTTCCTTAACGTTGTGGAAGTAATTAACGTTGTGGAATTAGTTAACATGAACCAAATAAAGAAGGAAAAAAAAGAAAGAAAAAGGAAAGAAACACTGGAAATTTACAATTCAATGAAGTTCAATATACCAAATTATCTTTTTTGATTTTTTTCTTTCTTAAGCAACCAAACACAGTTAGGGAAACTTCCTATACTATAAATTCCTACCAAGGGAAAACAGCAATTTCCTATACTGTTTTGTAGCCAAACTTCCTATATAGGAATTAAGAGAAAAAACAATTTCCTGTATAGTCTATAGACTACTGAACACTCAATATAAATATAGGTTATATGTTTTTTAAAACTCTTACACTGAAGTCGATTTGTTGCTATCGAACTCCTGACTGTTGGTAATTGTTTAATTTTGAATCATCTTTTTTGCATGTTAATTTGAATCCAATTTAATCATTGTGTGAATCTTGGTCGTTCATGCAGGAAGAAGATTGATTTGAACAAGAAAGATGGATTACGTTATTATTGAAGGATTGATCATAGGAGCTATTAGTTTGACGATTCTGATTGTTATTATCTGGGGACTTTATGAGTTTTACAAGGCGAGGCAAGAAGCAGAAGTAACAGCAGCTTGACAGCAAGCATGGAGCAACCTTCCTCACATCATACCCATCTTTAATTTGTGCTTTATCATGTGGTTAACCAGTTTTTAGTATTCAATTTAAAATAATGATCTTCTTTTTTATTTTTATTTTTGGTTAAATTAATCAGCACTACTATAATTCAGTTTTATTTTACAAAATTACGTTATGCAGCCTTAAACATAAATCTCTTTTATCTTTTACACAGGCTCAACTGTTTACTTAGGAACTGCGCAATGTATGCCTCTTAATTTAAAAAGATCGATCAACTAAATTCATCCGAGTTGTTACTTGTCCGCTGAGATTCATCAAGTTCCAGTTGTAATCAATTGATGAATTTGGAAGCTGTAGTGGAATGTTATGACTCTCATGTAGACTTCAGAATAGCATTTGGAAAGCCTACTAAGCTTATGAACAAGAAAAACTATGAGAAGGAAGTACTTTTGCCGCCTCCGACATTTCATCGGATGTTATATCATTACTCTAGGCTGTTAACTGTGGTGATCATGATAAGATTAAACTAAGCACTTTTACTTATAGAAACAGGCATTTGAATAAGACATATTTCCATAAATTTATAGGGTATGTAATATTTTAGTCCTCGCAGATTGAGCAATTTACGATCAAGATTGCCTGAAACAATTTCAGAATGAAGCAAACTTGTCATAGATTTTAACCCAGCTGAGTCAGAACCAGGAATAGCTTCATCAAAATATAATGACTCCATCTCACATTTTACATCTATCAACCTACCAAAGACAGGGGATATGGCAGGGTTAATTATTTGACAGATCTGCTGCACAATTCTAGTTCACAACAACCAGGATTTTAGCCATTGAATAGAGACTTTTGAAGACTTTACCACTAAAGTGTGGATTAAAGGAGGCCAGGCGAACAGATGTAGAAGACATTTTACATATCATATTTTGGGTTTGATTAACAAGATCATTTCTTTTAATTCACAACCGGTTGGAGAGAGTTTAAAAGAACCTTTTTCTTTAATTTCCCCAATAGCCATATTCTTTATTATGATTAATAGTGTGTTTTGAAGACTTTTGTAAAATAACTTTGTTTTGATCGGTAATTAAGTCTTTTTGATTTATTTTAAGCTACATTAGACTTACATAAAAGAGACATAAAAACATCAATATATGTTTAGGATTTTTAGGATACATGTCATCTTAATAGCTTTACATGTCCTGTATTTAGGGTTTTTAGAACATATGTTATCTTAATAGCTTTACGTATTTTTCCTATTGCTGGAAATTGATTAACAAAATGAAAAGATTTAATTGAATAAAGAAAATTCAAAATTCAAATAAGAAAAAATAAAAATTAAAAACTATCGGTAATTCATATTGCTTTATCACTAATTAGCCTATATTTTTTACAAGCTGAAGTAATTAAGTGTAATGCCTTTGATCTCGAACAGATAAGATTAAACCGACTACACTAACAATCAGCTTTTCAATTTGGATGCAAAGAGAGAAATAGAGCTCCACGTTTCGTTAATTTTGTCTAAATTATCATTTTCTCTTTTGGTAAGATTGCCACTTGTCACCAACTCAACGTTCAAAACAAGAAACTCCATGCAGGAAGCCACGTATCCCTCAACTCCACCCAACTTGAATATTAATCTTCTCTATCTCCTCTTCTCTCACGGTACTATTCGATCACATCTTATTTATTTCCATCTTGATCGAAACATTCAGAATATCTGATATCTTACATTTCTCGAATCTCTTGTTTCTAATTCTTAGCACTGCAAATTTTGTTGTCAATGGTGAAGCTAGCATCAGCTAGAGAGAGTAGAATGTACGGCCCACGACTGGCTAGAAATAGGGCAGAATATATGAACGCAGGGCTCTATGTGTTTGCAACTATCGTGCTTATTGGTGGGTTTGTGGCTCAATTGTCAAATGAACCCAAGTCAGGTCTTGCGCTTTTGCTTATAGCTCTCCTACTTATTGTGGTGGTTAATCTTCATGATCTTGTTGCTCATCTAGCCGGGATTGATTATCGGTTGCCTTTGATGGGGTTTGATACACAGCTTGCACTTGTTGAGTTTGCGGTTCCTGTGGTTCAGGCGTTGGGGACTTCGCTTTCTTTCTTGGGTATTCTTTTTCTTTTTATTCAGGTACATAATATTACTAATTGATTGCTTTTAGCAGTGCCATGAAAATTGATATTCTCTGAGTTCTAGAGCAATTCTAGTGTAGGAATTGTTATAGTTGTATTTATAAAATGAAAAGGATATAGTTTTCATCATTCAAGTGATTAATTTACTGTCAATTGATGGTGTGGGATCAATTCTATGTTCTATGATTTAATCTATCGATCTTCTGCCTCAAATCTCAATTATATTTCCTAAAAGCAAATTGTTTTAGGATATTGCCAGTAATTTAGATGAATTGGCCATCCACAATTGCAGGAATATAAGGGATCATATGGTCACTTCAAATTGGAAAGGCATGCTTTGAACTTGCTTATTGCTGGACCAGCTTTGTGGGTGCTTGGATCCATACACAACTCATGCCAAATATACGAGAGAGCTAATGGGCATGTACAAATCTTGCAACAGAGTGTCCACATCCCATTTTTAATGGGAAGTTTGCTATTCTTGGTTGCTTCCATTCTCAATATTCGTGAGCAAGCAGGATGGAACCATCATGGACTGAATTTACTGGTAAGCTGTAAATTTATTTATTTTAATCACTTTTTTTTTCCATTTTGTATCAACGAAGGATCAGTAAACTATAAATTAGTCCCTCTATTTTTGCAAAACGAATTGAAAAAATAGAAATTAAGTTTTGGAATCTCGAGTACTTTTGCATTGTAGCTTTTAACATACAACAAAGTTTGGTAATTAATGCAGGGAAAGACTTGGGTTTGGATAGGCATCTTTGGAAGTCTAATGTTCTTTATAGGGGGGTTAACAAATGTAGTGAAAGTGTTCAAGATGCAGCAAATTGATGGAGTACGGTTAGAGAAATTGCGAGGAGGGGCTCAAGAGCGTTTGATAGGAGAAAGGGATGGCCACGCACCACTCATCCTAGAAGAGGAGAGGAGGAGGAAAAGGATAGCCGAGGAAACAAGAGCAGCAGCTCTTCCTGCACAAACTCCTTACAAAGATGTACTTGTTGGCCAGCCTTGATCGCTTCAATCATTTATGATATTTGGATTTCTTGTGAAGTTTTTTTCTTTTCTTTTTGAACTCTTTTCTTATGCCTTCTCATTGCCTGATACATGTGTGTGCTCCGGTCCAATCTATATTCATGGTATAGATGAACGTTTTATTTGTCTTGACTCTTGAGCCTATGGTTTTTTTTTTTTTTTTTCTTGAGATTATGAGGCATTTCGGCCTTAGAATGGATGTTATCCTGATCAAATATGCCCCTTTCCTGGTTAAATAAAGTTGAAAAGCCTATATGACCAATATGCACATTTGGGAGGCAACTCCGATCCGATACAATCCCCTTCAAATGACTGCAAAAAGGCTTTGATGAGAAAGGGGCAACTCTAGGGTTCGGGGAGACTGCATAATTTAGGAAGACAATCAGCTGTACAGAAGTACATGCGTGTCCAATTGTTGCTAATTTAGCCGTTACGAATTGCAGCCAATGTTAGCCCAAACCATAATAGATAGAGAATTTACGTCCAATTGTTTCATCTACCAAGTAAATTATTAGTATTATTATTTGAACTTTTCCTCTCCTCCTATAGCCTGCCATCACTTTGCCTGCATATTACAATTTACATGGTATTTGCCCAATTGGTATTCATCTAATAGATGACACGGAGTTTCAAAACAAAACAAAAAAAACAATAATGGAATTTCACTTGTATCCTCAGAATTTGGCTTCCCTGCTTATATTTTATATGAAGTAGTATTTTTAACCGCGATGTGGAAACATTTTGAGATGATATTCTCAATGAAATTATTTTAAGAAATTAAACAAAACCTAACAGAAAGCTTTCTTGTATGCCTAAATATTTCGATTTTGTTTCTTCTTCTAAGATTTTCCGTAATAATATTAGGACTTCTTCTCACTTATGTACATTTATTAGAAAATTTTCATTACTAAGGCTGTGTTTGTTTGAGAAAAAATAAGTTTTAAGAACTTATTTTTCTTACTTTCTAGTGTTTATTTTGTGTTTAGGAAAAAATCAATGAAAAATGATCTTCAATCAACGAAAAATGATAAAGTATTTTTGAAAAAATGCTTTCCTGGTTTAAAAAAAAAATATTTTTCTTCTCATAAGTCGTCTTTTCTCGCGTTACTTTCTAGCATGAGATACTCCCGTTTTTATCATCATGCTGGCTCAAAAAAAAAAAAAAAAAAAAGGTTCCAAATATAAAATAAATAAAGATAAAGGGATCTAATCGTTCTATTACAAGAATTCAATATTCCAGTGTAACCGCAAACTATAAAATAGTTTCGATAGATTAATTTAGAGAACTTGATTGTGTTCATATCTACGTGTGTTGGTCAAAAGAAGATTAATTAGCTGCTACTATTAAATAAAACCTCTACTTGCAGAGCATGCACTCGGCATAGAACATTCGGTCATGGAATTTTTTTAGTCAAACATTGCACGTCACAGGTTAATTACACCATTCAAAGACTTATTCAAATTAATTAAGGTTCAATCTACTAACCAATTGTTAACAAAGACAAATTTATTTTGATTCAAATTAAGTTAATTAATTTGGCATCATCATTTATACAACGGATTCGGAGCATCTGCTTGTTAATTTTAAATTTAACCATCTTCAAACGTTTAATCATTCTCATCCTAAAAAATAAAAAAATAAATAATAAAATACTTCTTATATTCTCATCCTAAGCGGAAAGGACCTTTTTTTTTTTTTTTTAGCAGAGAAGATACTGTGTACAATATTATCAGGTTTTAGCAACAACATACTACATATAAATCTAAATTCGTCGTAAAAAATGTAGATCAAGATCAGAAACAAAACCTAATCAAGTACCTGATTCTGGTAGCCCATATGCTTTGTTTGGTAACCCAAATTCTGCAAAAAAAAATTTCTATTTTATTTATTTCTCTCTTTTTCATTTTGACTTAGACTTCAATTGAGTTTTCAAAATGTTCATATGTTATTCCACAAATAACGCCATTAACCGACGCAATAACCAATCCGTCCCTTTTAAATAATAATTAAAAAAATCATTTCAAAAGAAAGAAATGAATTTTTATTTTAATTTTTTATTCGACAATGATGAGTATCCTCAAACTATTTTGTATGTCAAACGAAACCAATTTATCCCCTATGTACATCAGCTTGATATATTCAAAAGAATTCATTAAATTCTCGAGTGTTGATTTCAAAGTTGAACACATTAGTTGAACTCGAACACGAAATTCACACAATTTTTTTTTTCGTTTTATTTTATTTTATTTTTTTTGTTTTTTTATCATGGAAATTCATGCAATGATATTATAAGCTGAAAACTTATATTTTCCTTTAATGAATGAAGTCAATTTTAATTTTTCTTCCTGACCTTTAAAAATTCTGGAAGTATTTTAAAAAATAGATTGGATTTCTTCATCGCATATGCTAAATTTCAGTTCAAAATGCTAAGAACTGAATTCTTTAAAAGAAATAATTGATAGCTGAAAACCATAGAACATATTAAATTTCAAAAACATTATAATCCAGGAAAGTCAAAGCTAAATTAAAAGTTTAGGAGAAATTTGATAAATTCAACCTAACAAAATCCAGATGGATCGTGACAACATATGGATTAATCAAGATGTGCTTTTAGATATGGTTTTGAAAGACATATGGGCCTATGAAAACTGGCTTTGGCAAATGATACTCCAGTACTATCTGTATTGCTAGGAATAGCTAGTTGAAGAGGGAATTGGACATCTCTTCTCTTACTTTTAAGGAAGCCGCTAGCTAATTAGTTATAAATGTTTTGAATTTTTTATTTATAAAAAATTATTATTATTATTATTATTATAATTTAGGTCACAAATTTTTGTTTTGATTGATGTGTAATTAAGTTCTTTCATCTTATTAATTTATTTCAAACTCTATTAGACACATATAAAAGAGACATAAAGTCATAAAACAAGGATATGTATAATGTTTTTTTAGATTTTTAAAATATATGTCATTTTAATAGTTTAATGTATTTTTCATATCATCTTAAATTGATTAACAACATGAAAAGACTCAATTGTGATTAAAAAATTCAAAATCAAAATCAGAAAAATTAAAAAGTATCAGTAGTTCATATTAATTTATAACTAATTAGTCTATATTTTTTACAACCTCAAGTAATTAAGTCTAATGCCTTTGATCTCAAACAGACAAGATCATACTGACCACGCTGACAATAAGCTTTTACTCTGCATTTACTCAGGTTATTATATGGATTTATTTTTTACGAGAGAGATAGATACGTGAAAAAAAGAAAATTATATTTAGAATCATTAAAAATAATTTTCACATTTGTTTAATTTTTTTTATTTTATGAAAAAGTCTCTGTTTATGAAATAATTTATCCTAATTATTCCTTAATTATTATAAAATTAGAGCTCCAGGTTTCGTTAATTTTGTCTGAATTATCATTTTCTCTTTTGGTAGGATTGCCACTTGTCACCAACTCACCGTTCAAAATAAGAAGCTCCATGCAGGAAGGCAAGCATCCCTCAACTCCACGCAACTTGATTATTCTTCTCTATCTACTCGTCTCTCACGGTACTATTTGATCACATCTTATTTATTTCCATCTTGATCGAAACTTTCAAAATATCTGATATTTTACATTTCTTGAATCTCCTGTTTCTTCTTAGCATTGCAAAATTTGTTGACAATGGTGAAGCTAGCATCAGCTAGAGAGAGTAGAATGTACGGCCCACGAATAGCTAGTAATAGGGCAGAATGTATGAACGCAGAGCTCTATGTGTTTGCAACTATTGTGCTTATTGGTGGGTTTGTGGCTCAATTGTCAAATGAACCCAAGTTAGGTCTTGCGCTTTTGCTTATAGCTCTCCTAGGTATTGTGGTGGTTAATCTTCATGATCTTGTTGCTCATCTAGCCGGGATTGATTATCGGTTGCCTTTGATGGGGTTTGATACACAGCTTGCACTGGTTGAGTTTGCGGTTCCTGTGGTTCAGGCCTTGGGGGCTTCGCTTTCTTTCTTGGGTATTCTTTTTCTTTTTATTCAGGTACATAATATTACTAATTGATTGCTTTTGGTAGTGCCATGAAAATTGATATTCTCTGAGTTCTAGAGCAATTTTAGTGTACGTAGGAATTGTTATAGTTTTAATTATAAAATAAAAATAAAAAGGATATAGTTTTCATCATTCAAGTGATTAATTTACTGTCAATTGATGGTGTGGGATCAATTCTATGTTCTATGATTTAATATATCCATATTCTGCCTCAAATCTCAATTATATTTCCTGAAAACAAGTTGTTTTAGCATATTGCCAGTAATTTAGATGCTGTGACCATCCACAATTGCAGGAATATGAGGGATATGGTCACTTCAAATTGGAAAGGCATGCTTTGAATTTGCTTATTGCTGGACCAGCTTTGTGGGTGCTTGGATCCATACACAACTCGTGCCAAATAAATGAAAGTGCTAATGGGCATGTAAAAATCTTGCAAAAGAGTGTCCACATCCCATTTTTAATGGGAAGTTTGTTATTCTTGGTTGCGTCCGTTCTCAATATTCGTGAGCAAGCAGGATGGAACCATCATGGACCGAAGTTACTGGTAAGCTGTAAATTTGTTTATTTTTAGTCGCCTTTTCTATTTGGTATCAAAGAAGGAGTAATTAAACTATAATTTAGTCTCTCTATTTTTTCAAACCGAATCGAAAAGATAGAAATTAAGTTTTGGAATCTCGAGTACTTTTGCATTGTAGCTTTTAAAATGCAACAAAGTTTGGTAATTAATGCAGGGCAAGACCTGGGTCTGGATAGGCATCTTTGGAAGTCTAATGTTCTTTATAGGGGGGTTAACGAATGTAGTGAAAGTGTTCAAGATGCAGCAAATTGATGGAGTACGGTTAGAGGAATGGCGAGGAGGGGCTCAAGAGCGTTTGATAAGAGAAAGGGGGGCCACGCACCACTCATCCTAGAAGAGGATAGGAGGAGTAAAAGGAGAGCCGACGGAATATCTGCTCTTGCACACTCTGCTTATATGCCTTCTAATTGCGTTCCTACATGCGATTGATATTTGGATTTCTTGTGGTGTTTTTTTTCCTTTTCTTTTTGAACTTTTATTATATGCCTTCTCATTGCCTTGCTACATGTGTATGGTACGGTCCAATCTATATTTACGGTATAGATGACAGACAAGTTTCGTATTGTCAAAATAAATGGATGATTTGTCTGGACTCTTGAGCCTATGTTTTTTCTTCTTCTTTTTTTTTTTTTTTTTTTTTTTTGAGGTTATGAGGCATTTCGGCCATAGAATGGATGTTATCCTGATCAAATATGCTCTTTTCCTGGTTAAATAAAATGGAAAAGCCTAAATGACCAATATGCACAACTGGGAGGCAACTCCGATACAATCCCTTCAAATGATTGCAAAAAGGCTTTGATGAGAAAGGCAACTCCAGTAACTTTTGGACAAAGCTAATTCTAGGGTTCGGGGAGAGTGCATAATTTATCAAGACAATCAGCTGTACAGAAGTACATGCGTATCCAATTATTGCTAATTTAGTCGTTACAAATTGCCAACCAATGTAACCCAAACCAAAAATGATCGAGAATTTATGTCCACTTGTTTCATCCAACTCCATACAATAATTCAAAGGAAAAGGTGTAATGGGACGTATATTTCAACTTTTCCCAAATACCAGACTTTAACTTCACGAAAAAGATTGGGTGCAGCAAAATTAATATGATGAAACTTTCACTTTAGAGTATGAAAAAAGAATGAATGCCCATCGAGGACCTCCTTTTTATTTTTTCTCTTTTGTAATGAAGCATTATTTTGGAGAAGATATCCTTAAAAAAAATAAAATCCGGATGGATTTTTAGCTGAATTTTGTGCTGCACGCACAATTTTACGTACCCTTTCAGTTCTCCATCCAATAATTTTGATCACTTTAGTTTTTTTTTTTCCTCTGATTTTTTTATTTGATTTTAATCCATTAATTTTAATATTTTTTTTACTATTATAAATTTTTTAACTTCTAAATAAAGATAAATAAATAATAGTTTTTAATAAAAAATTTATAAAAAATAATCAATAAAATATAAAATTTTAATTAAAAAATTAAATAAATTTTTATTCAATTTTTATTTAATATATTCACAATATATCATTAAATACTACACGAAAATAATCTTTAAAAAATAATTTTATATATTATATTCAACACGCATTGCTGCATTTATTAGCAAATTTCCTTCACTAGAATGTGCCTTTTTTTTATTGTACTATAAAAAGGTTTTTTTTTTTTTTAACAGAAACACGTGCAGGAAGAGCCAGCAGAAGCAAGAGTCGGGTTCGTATCCTCGTAGGGGCAGTTGGGAACCATTAAGGCTGTATAAATAACACAAGTTGGCAAGTTGACGCCCATTAAGGTTGAACCCTAAAATTATGTCATTTTATAGACGTCAGTACGTCACCTCTGATGATGACAATGGTGACTCTAACAAATGGTCTCATCGGTGGTTAATAAAATTTGCTTTCTGTTTAATTAAATGTTTGGATTTAAATATTTAAGTTAATATTTAAAAGAATTTATTCAAATTTCTTTAAATATATCTAATTAATATAGAAAATATCTTTTTATAATTATTTGAAAAAAAAATTCAATTGATATGCTGTTTAGAAAATATTCTTATTTTAAAAAATAAAAAAAAATCTCACAAGACATCCAAATTTCTAGTAAGTGTTTTTTCTTTTCTTTTTTTAAGGTATCAAACAAGTATATTGTGGGCTTCTAGGAACTACTTCCAAGTTACTAAGAAACAAAAAATTTTAACCCAAAAGTAAATATTAACTAACAAAAAATTTAAATATTAATAAATTAGTTTTGTTAGAAATTTTGAATGTATAAATTAAAAAAAAAAAAAAACAATTAAAAGCTAGGGGCAGGGGAGTCCTGACTCAGTCCCCAAGGGCCACAGGATTAAAATGTGCCCTCTGGTCCTTTTTTTCTAGAAATCTCAAAATGTTTCTTCCAATTAGCAACAGCTCAACTAGAATTAATATCTTCCATCCTTTAAAAGATCTTCTTCTCTGGAGAGATATCAAGGTTGAACCTATCTTTTTCATATAACCTCAACTAGAATTAATATTTTCCTTTAGAAAAATTGTGAGGGGATCGATTCAAAAAAAGTTTGGGGCGCACACCACTCATCCTAGAAGAGGAGAGGAATAAAAAAAAAAAAAAAAAGGAGCCGAACATCTCTTGTTCCAAACTTCTTAAAATGATATGCTGCTTGTCGGCCAATCTTTTTCATATAACCTCAAACACACTAAATCTAGTGTAAATTACGTGACGAAAAACCAATAAAAAACTGAGCATTTTAGGGGGGGGGGGGGGGGGCATAAATTGCCATGAAAAACCAATAAAAAACTGAGCTACAAACAAATGTGAAAATAAGAATTCTTCTTGTATGGGGCCCAAACAATCTTTTAGGAAGGGTCGAGGAATGTCACCCTTGATCAACCACGCTGGCACGCTACGCTATGACTCTAAAAGACTACTACTACAGCCAATCATGCCAGCAATAAAATATTCCAAAACATAAAAGCTTAAAAAGGAAAGAACTAAATATTAAAATTTTTGGAGAGCGGCGGTTTAAAAAATTAAAATAATTCGCATGAAATGGGCCAATTTAAGAGACGTAGTGATGATAGGAAGGATGATCTGGTACGTTAGGTTTGTTTAACTGGAAGCTACAATGGGCCTGTTTAGTTGGTGGCATCCAGAGGTAAGGATATTTTAGGATTGTGCTGTACAAATTAATGAACCTAGTTTGTTAACGCCAATTTTTATTTTAACCTCTCTTTATTTATTCATAAAAATGAGTGCATTAATTGAACACAGATTTGTCATTTTAAGGAAAGATTCATTAAAAAGAAAGAGTGCACGCGTGCGCGCACGTGTATGTGTATATATGATTGAAGAAATTTTATAATACATTAAGAGTAATTAGTGACATGTACAATAGTTATTCTATGAATCCATTTTAAAAAGAAAGATAGATATACAAAAAAAAAAAAAAAAAAATTTGAGCGGATGTGTTTCAAAAAAAAGAAAAAAAATGCTGAGATTGTGACAATTTTAAGCCTTTGTGGTGGACTATTTTGTTAGCCATTCATGATCTTTAGACAGAACCATTTCTAATATTCTTTTGCACAAGATTCTACTTCTGTCCTTGGCCTACCATATATATACCACGATCTTCGCCAAAAGCTTTGCTGCCCCTTGTGTCAGGTTATGATGAAAAGGACGACCTTGAACTAGGTTTCAAAACCAAAGACTGCTGCTGCAGAAAACTAAGTAAATAATTTTACAATATGCTTTCTTTTTGTCTTTAAGAATATTTTGAATTATGTTTAACAACACAGCACAACAGATAACTCTATCAAACCATAAGTATATGAAAAAAATTTATAATATTAAAGAATAATTAATATAAATCACTCTATAAAGAGATAAATACGAGGAGAAAAGAACAAAAAATCAATATTGAAACTTTTTTATCATCTTTTATAAGTTTATATATATATATATATATATATATATATATATATATATATATGTGGAATAATTACTGAATATGCATAAAGTATTATTAGATTTTTTTTAGCTAGCAATTGGATCCGCATATTTGTTATAATCGACAAATATATCAACCAACCACGTGTTAGTCTAGAATTTATTTGATTTGTAGGGTACCGTATCACTATTTTACACTCACAGATGCTTAAACTCTATTGCAATTTTCAAACTTCACTTTGTGCTTTCCAAGGAAAAGCAAGCCTATAGAATATAGACTATCGAAAGCTCCAAAGTTGTCCTGCGCTTGAAATTTGGACCCTAAAAAAATTGATTGAATCTCCTTTTCTTTCACAGTCCGTTGTACTTTATCACAAATTCCATCAGGTTCTCCTAATTTTTAAATGATAGCTAGGGTGAGGTTTGTTTTATATATTATTATATCGATTTTGAATATAATGATATGATTTTTTTTTATTGAATCCCACCGCCTAAATATTAGCAATCTATCAAATGGAATAAATTATATAAAATAATTTTCATTTTTTAAAAGTTAAAACTGATTCGAAAATATTATATTTGTATTTAAAACAAAATTTCCATCGAAGTCTTTCTTCATTTATGAGTCACAACTAAAACCTAGTTGTCTTGCATTGTTTTCGGAAGCAACAACCGATTAAGAAATTCAATCTCGAAAGAATCTAAAGTACAAACCAAACCGAATGCGGTTCAATTACTGTCAAGCATGTGAAAGGTCAACCTACGATCTAGTTCAAAGATTTATTGCATCATCTGTAGGGAAGCAAATGATGTCATCTCCATGACGAAAGCTTTGCCAAAGAAAGAGAAAAAATAAAACAAAAAACCAAAAGCCCACTTGCGTTTGAAAAATATCTTGATTGCTAGCTTCTGCTCCGGTGGCTGAAAGGTCATTTCCTTTGAGATTTCCTCAAGATCTGCTCTGAAAATGCGATCGTCATAGTACGCTGCACTGCTCTATGTTACTTCCCCCCACGCCAAGTAATTAACAATCACTGTCTAATGACCCTTTCATCCCTGCCATTAGGCATCAGCTTTATCGTCTTTGTCATCCCCACCTTCAACAATTCGTATTCGGCTATCACGCATCCTGATCATCTTCCACGACAATTATAGAGGCTGATTTCTGGTTATTCTAAACAGGACGTACGTGCGTGTTTTCTATTGTGACTTCGCAGTCATCCTTATCTGACCTAACTTCAAATCAATCCCCACCATGTACCGTATAATTTTGGTAGAACATTGATGAGAAAAAAAAAAAAAACTTCATTACCAAAAATCATTCATGATACTTGAATGTTAAATAGAATCGGCATCCATAAATAGATGCTGCTGCCTCGCATAATTTACCTTTAGCTTGCTTTTGGCTTTAGAATTTCAAATTGAAATAATGCTAATAAGATTTATCTCATTTCTCTTCTTTTTGTGTCCTTAAATATGTACTGCCGGTTAGTTCAAAAAATTTAATTTTTTTTTTTAAAAATAAAGATAATTTGATGTTGATTTAATCTAAAAAAATAATAAATTTAATATTAATTGATGAGAAAGCTGATTTGAAAAAACCCTACTACCTATATATATATATATATATATATATAAAATTGTAGGATTTTTATTAAAGCTTATCACATGCATTAAAATGGTTAAAGTTGAGGGCTAAGACTATATAGCATGGCTGTGGGTTTGTTGTGTGGAAAATTCAGTGTGAATTCCATGACAAAAATGGTGGTTGGGACACCGGTTATCTTGGCTCTAAGATTTGCGGAAGGACCAAATAGGCCATAAAAGAGAATGGGCCTGCTTTCTTTTTCCAATCTTCCAATTGGTTGGGCTTAGATGTAAGATGGTGTATATAGGTTTCTGTAAGGTAAATTGCGAAACTCGAATCCCTAATCAATTTCCCTGATCATCTCCAGTATATAAGGGACGATACATTCATTTTGTGTGTGTCGCTTATAACAAATCACTCAACAAGAAATGAGAAGAAGAAGTCACGTTTCCATTTCTCTGTTATTTTGCCTTCACCGCAAATTTGCTTCCTTACCTCCAAACAATTACCAATTAATATTGATTATACAATTGATTCTTGAATTGGAATCTTAATTTATTTTTGCTTGTATGTATAGATATAGAAGCCCATTTTATTGTTGTTGTTGAATCTCCAACGCGGTCTCTGAGAAGACCAAAGGGTACTAGAAACTAGAAAGCAGGGAAGGAGAAGGAAAAAAAAAAAAATTGAGTCTAGGTTCATTAATTTGCACAGCACAATCCTAAAACATCTTTGCCTCTGGATGCCACCAACTAAACAGACCTACTGTAGCTTACAGTTAAACAAATTGGAAAGGAAGCTATAAAAGCAACAGATCCGATTTTTATCAGCACCCAATTAACTATCTGATCCCTTTGACTGTGCCACTGGGTACCATAGCGATCCCTTTTTTTAACACTGGGTTGGAGGAGTTAGTCCGCCAAATAAAAATATAGCGATCCTTTCTTTTTTAGCACTGGTTATACGTTGATCCTCTTTTTGACACTGGGTTTCCTCCGAATATGGTGAGCTCTTTTTTTTTTCCAGTTAGCTGTAGCCATCTGTATTGGAATACCAAATGTACCCTGTATTTCTTTGGCCTGCCAATAATTGGATCACAACCGTTCATTACAGTAGTATCAGCTGTGGGCCTCCCCCTGTTATGATCCAACGGTAGTGATTTGCTCATTGCTCTATCAGAGAAATAAATATACATCTATATATATATATATATAAAAAACTTAACGTTCCATATCATCCTTCCGATCATCCTTCCGTCCATCCTCACTGTGATCTCTTAAAATGCCCTATCAAGGCCTAGATGACAGACCAAAGAAATGCCTTGACTGCCATCAAAGTCCACAAAATTAAACTCAATGAATCAGTGAATCACAGTTGGAACAACTTGTATGGCTGCCTCAATTGCTTTCTTGTGCAATTCAGAAAGAATAACAAGCCTCGAGGCCGGTCATCATCAATTGCGTGCGAAAAGGCATGCTAAAAGAGCTATTCAAAATTTCTTTCATAAGACCCCACTTTGATGGAACCATCCGTACTGGAATTTGGATGGGACCCCACCAAGTACCAAATGGACCGTAGATCCCATTAAAGGCTGTGACACTGGGTACCATAGTCATCCCTTTTTAACACTGTGAACGTGATCCTAAAACATCTTTTCCTCTAGATACCCACCAACTAAAAAATTTGTACGGCCCAATCCGAAAACATCTTTGCCTCTGGATAGCCGCCAAACTGAACAGACCAACAACTGTAGCTTCCAATTAAACAGATTTAACTGAAAAATTCGCCCACTTCGTCACATGACCAGATGCCCAACCTCCCATCCCAACTTTTTTTTTTTTACAAATTACTTGCGAATTATTTTAATTTGTTAAACCGCCGCTCTCCAAAAATTTAAGTCTCTCTCTCTCTCTCTCTCTCTCTCTACTGCCCACGTTTCTACCTCTCATCGAAGGATATGCTGCTTGTTGGCCAATCTTTTTCATATAACTTCAAACATCTAGTAGCAAGAAGCTACACTAAATCTAGAGTAAATTATGTGCGTTTTTTTTACAAGTTATTTCTTCTTATTTTGAAAATCATAAATTAATTCTTCAACTAAAATTGATTGTTAATTCTTTCTGAAATTTCTAAATCGACTTTTTTTAATTCATTTTAGCTTTTGTCTATAATAGATGGTATTGGAAATTTTGAGAAATGACATTACATATTTGTTTCAGTGCAACCATGAAACAAAAGATTCAAGATGCTAATATTGCAAACTGCAAACAGTCTAGACACATAGGCCATCCTGCTCAGAAGGTTATTTCAGAGAGGACAACTGAAAAAGATAGGTTCAAAGCTCAAAGCCTCGAAGTGCTAAGACACGTCGTTAGTGACAGCAAGCTAATAAGGATTTTAAAGCTTTGTTCCATAAGTTTGATGTGTACTTAATTAAGGAGGGAAATGGACTGAGATGAGATGTCTTCAGACATTTAAATTTCTTGAGACTCCCTGTGTTTAAGGAAAAATAATTTTTAATCGAAAAATCAATTTTAGGTAAGTTATTTTTTTATAAAAATATTTTCTGATATTTGATAGTTATATGAAAAAATTATTAAAAAATATATTCAAACGTTTGTTTGATGCGAAAACTAAAATCCAAAAATAGGTTGCGACTCTTATATTAACAAGTTTCGAAAAAATTTCAACATGACATATTCATACTTTCATAATATAAGATGCATTTTGAAAAATTTAATAAATTTTTGTAGATAGTGACTATAAGATTTAATTTTTATATTAATTTTAACCTAAAATTTTTTAATTATGTTAATTTTTTAGGTTTAATTTTATTAATTTATATAATTTAGTTACGGTTGATTTATTTTTAATTTATTTATTATTAATTTTTAGGCTAAAATTTAATCTTTAATTGTTATTGTAAATTTTTTAATTATTAAATTATTTATTTGTGTTAATTATTAGTTGAATTGTGTTAATTGTTTGTTTTAAGTTAATTTTAAATTATATAATTTTGTAGGTACTTTATTTAAATTTTGTTTATTATTTCTTAAGATATTTTTAATTTATTGGTTGGTTAAATTTTTTTCATTTATTATTAATTTTTCATGTTGTTTTTCGTTTAAATTAGTTACTAGCTTAATTAGTTTAGATTAATTTAATGTAATTGATTTGATTTATAGTTAATTCAAATATAAATTATAGAAATAATTGTTATAGTTTAATTATTAAAATTGAAGAAAGATAACATGCAGAATGATTTAGTCATTCGAAAAAAAAACATAAAAATATAATTGAAAAATAAACATAAAAGAAACGTTATGGGCGTGCTGGCCCATAGCCAAAAGATAGAACATCAAGGCGTCATTATCAATCCACGCTGTCGGGAGGCCCCATCGCCTTTGAGTTGTTCGGTTCGGTTTGGTTTGGTAGGGCCCACTAAAAATACACAACGCATAAATGCAGAATTTGAAGCTTAGCTTCAATTCCAGAGAAAAGAAAAACCCAAGTCCCAAACCAAACCAAACCAAACAATTCAAAGGTGGTCTGTGTCTGTCCAGGCAATGTAGGGTTTACAGGTTTAACTAAACCATAAAGAACAACCCTAAAACCCCAAGTTTTTTTTATTAAAAAGAGGATATTTTTAAATCTTATTTACTAAAACAAGATAGATTTGATCTTATTTATCAAAATAAGATAGTTTTTATCATATGGATAAATTATCTACACGTGTGAGTTTTTTTTTTAAATACAAAATTTATTAATAATTTTACAAAATTTTAAAAATAAATATTATTTACAATACTTCTATATTATTAGTTATGATTAAATATTAGTAGATCCAGTCCCAACAACTAATCCCAACAACTTATGGATAAGATCTAAAACCCTAACTTAGTACCACATGTTAACGGCTTGCCAAGGCTGCCATGTCGTTGTCTCATCAACATTGACGATGACATCTATGGAGCATATGGGATGCTTCATGCACTCCAACAAAACTCTCATTGGATTGAATGTCTCATTGATTAATAAGCGTATTGTAATTTGCGTGTTTTGGATTTTGGTTTCTTACCCGTCATAAACGACTTCAGCTTTATTTCTTTGATTGTTTAATCATTTTAATTTTTATAGAGAAAGATTATTATGAAGTTATTGATTCTTAAGGGTTTATTTATTTTAATTTTATTAGAGTAATTGTTTCTAAATTTTGTCAATGAAGTAATGAGATTGGATCTACTAATATTTGATTTTATCTCGATAATCATAGCTAATAAAATGAATGTATTGTAAATTATATTTATTTCTAAAATTTTATAAAATTATTAGTAAATTTAGTATTAAAAAAAATTTGACACATATAAGTGATTTAATCTATACAGTAAAAATTATTTTATTTTAATAAATAAAATTAAAATTATTTTATTTTAGTAAATAAGATTTGGAAGTATCCTCTTTCTCGTCAATCTGAAGAGGAAGATACTCGTAGTACTGGTGCCGCCGCAGCAACCAATCCCTTAAGCTATAAAGTTATTTGCTAATCATAGCTATTCACAATAAATGTTATTAGCTAATCATTTTATGCCAAAACTATAAAGTTAGATATATCTCTTAAGTCATTTGTTCATAGAAAATAAAATAAAACAAAATTTGAGGAAAGAGAAAATAAGAACAAAAAAATTAAACTGAAAACTTTAGACGAAGATTTATTACAATATATTTGTTTTATATTGTTGTACGTAGTTCAAATCAATTAAAAGTTCATACCACAAGCTTCAATTTGAGAGGTATATAGATTTTTTTTTTTTTTTGTAACAAAAAAAAAGTGCAAAGAAATTGTCTCCTTGTTAAATCAATACTTTTCAAAACCATTTTTGATGAGATTTGAAAGATTAACTAAAAAAAACAATCCTTGAAATACGGTAGCGTCATAATCAAAGCCAAACCAACGAAGGCAAATCCATGTTTTGTCCATAAACCTAGGAAACATCTAAATTAATTAGCTCCAAAGATTACAGCACTACAGCCTCTAGAAGGTATATTACCATCGATTATACAATCCATTCTTGAATTGAAATCTTGATTTATTTTTGCTTGTATGTATAGACATAGAAACCCATTTTATTGTTATTGTTAAATCTCCAACGCCGTCTTTGAGAAGACCAATTAAAGACTAGAAAGCAGGAAAGACGAAAGAGAAAGAGATAATAACATTACAATTAAACAGCAGCAAAACTCAGAAAGGAATTTCAGCTGTGAAACTAATTAAAAGATAGGGGTGGATCTGATGGTAGATGGGGAGAAGTTTTATCTCATTCAGAAATAATAAATAATTGTTAAACACAAAAGGAAAAAGAAAAATAGAAAAGAGGATTAAAAGAGAATGCCACTTCATTAGACTAGCCTGCAATGTACTAACTACCAACACATTTTTATGTACATTCACAAGAAGAGCAATGATAAGCACATGCTTGGTGTTTTCGGGCATTTACGAGCCAGCACCGCTTTGTAGCACGTACGGTAATATGATGAGTCTCGCATGAAGTAGAGAAAGACTTAGATCTGCAATGTTATAATTACACTTGCTAATAAGCAATGTGAGAGTTAGTTAAGGCATGGCGAAGAAAATGAGTGTAGGTGAAAGTAATGGATCGAGAAGCAGATCAGTGATCGTTTCTTGTTAACGCTGGTTATACGGTGATCCTCTTTTGACGCTGGGTTTCTTCTGACTATGGTGGCCTCTCTTTTTTCCAGTTAGCTGTAGCCATCCGTATTGGAATAATGTACCCTGTATTTCTTTGGTCTGTCAATAATTGGATCACAACCATTCATTTCTATAGTATCAGCTGTGGGCCTCCCCTGTTATGATCCAACGGTAGTGATATGCTCTTGGCTCTATAAGAGAAATATATATATATATATATAACTTAACGTTCCATATCATCCTTCCGTCCATCCTCACTGTGATCTCTTAAAATGGCCCTATCCAAGGCTAGATGGCAGGCAAGGAATTAATACGGGGCAAGACTTGGGTTTGGATAGGCATCTTTGGAAGAAGTGATGTTCTTTATAGTGGGGTTGGGGTTAACGAATGTAGTGAAAGTGTTCAAGATGCAGCAAATTGATGGAGTACGGTTAGAGAAATTGCGAGGAGGGTCTCAAGATCGTTTGATACGTGGAAGGGAGGGCCACGCACCACTCATCCTGGCAGAGGAAACAAGAGCAGCAGATATTCTTCCACCAACTCCTTACGAGGATGTACTTGTTGGCCAGCCTTGATTGCTTCAATCATTTATAGGCAACATTTGGATTTTTTGTGGTGTTTTTTTCTTTTCTTTTGAACTACTACAAAAAAAAACAACCAATTATTAATTAGTCAAGATCATGCTAATTCTTAAAAACTATCGATAATTTTTTTAGCGATAGTTTGAAATCTAGTAGATTAATTTAGTTATAGAAAAATAATAAGCTATTTATTAAAATATGTAATTTTCAAGAAAATCATCAACTTGGAAACATTAGCGATGATTTTTCAAATTGGTAGTTAACATTGTATTTAGTGGCAGTTTAACCATCACAAATATTGTAACTAATTTTAAAAACAAAATTTACTAAAATTTAATTATTTTTAATTAACCTATTCTAGTTTAAAACTAAAATATATATTACAAATTATTATAATATATATTAAAATGATAAGGATAAAGTTTAAAGTTTGTTATTATTACATAAAAAAAGAAACATAAAGTTACGAACGATCGATGAGTCATCGATCGGAGAGTGCATGGATGAAATGCATCTTATTGCATATTCGGCAAATTTTACTACATACACTCATCATTTTGCATGTTGCTCCCGAGTAACACCATATATTAAATATTGTAAGACCAATTAAATTATTTAAATATAAAAATTATAATTAATTTAATAACCAACTAAATAAAAATTATGAAACACATAATTAATTAAACTAACTCTCACAAAATTATTTTAAACACAAATTATTAAATTTACTTATTAAGTAATTGACTTAATCAACAACTAAATAAACGTAATTAACAAACAAATAAATTAAAAATATATATATATATATATATATATATATATAATTGTAAACTAATTTCTCAATTAACAATCTAATATATTATTTTAAACAATATTTTTTTAATTATATATAGCTAGCAAAGTATTCCTTCTCGTCAGTCCTTGAAGGTCGTTGCAGCCAAAATCCAAACCAGAGTGAGGTCCAGGAACCAGGAAAAATTCTGTTAACGCATGTCAGAATAATAATTCTAATCTTGAAGTGACGGTTTTGCATAGAATTTAAAGGGCACTTTAGGAAAAACAAACATGGAAGTGCAAAAAATGGAACGAACTCAAGATTCCATGTCGGGGAAAAGACCCGAAAGTCTACTTTTACAATGAGAAATAGTAGGACAATTTTTTTTTGGGTTTGTTTGATTTTGAGAGTGAGAAGCAAAGGGGTTTGGTTGTCAAGCCTAGGCATAGATCTTGGCCTACGTAGTGACAACTGACAAGTGACAATTTGCTCTCTACAAATTAAAATACTAATTATTTTCCATGGAAAACATGCCTTTGTGTGGAGGAAAAAGGAGGGATCATAGCTGGGACGGCTAACCCAGTCATGCATTTTCTTTCTCAAAAGAGAATGCCACTTCATTAGACTAGCCTGCAATGTACTAACTACCAACACATTTTTATGTACATTCACAAATAAGACAAGAAGAGCAATGATAAGCACATGCTTGGTGTTTTCGGGCATTTACGAGCCAGCAACCGCTTTGTAGCACGTACGGTAACATGATGAGTCTCACATGAAGTAGAGAAAGACTTAGATTTGCAATGTTATAATTACACTTGCTAATAAGCTTGACAAAAATATGTTCATTTTTTTTTCAAAATTCATTTAATTAAATGTTATAAAAAAAGAAAAAGAAAATTAAGATAGAAAAATATAATAGAAAAATGAGATTAAGATATAAAAAAATAAGTTAACATTGTTTGTCCAAAATTTAACGAAGAAACAAGATAAAAATATAAACCAAACATTAATTAAGAGATGAATCTAAGAAAAAAATTAGAAGGACATGATAAAAACACAAAAAAAGTAAAGGGTCAAACACTTTACCTACCGTCATTCACAGGCTGACCTCTTAAAAAGCCGTACATCTAGATTCTACTTTTGACTAAAATTAATTTACATAGAACTCAGCTGTGTGCCGTTCTACATGTATCATGACTTTCTTGCTCTTTGATCGACTGACTTTATACAAGGAAAGCACGTGTTGGATAAAACTCGACAAGACAGTTAAAGCTTATGCAGTATAAATCATAATAAGTATGTATTTTTCTACATATATATCATGAATTTGTTGTCTTTTTTATCTAGCGGCTTTATATATATATATAGAAGACTTATTACCAGTTCCACACATTTGGGGTTGACATAAATTATTACGAATAAATTGTGCTTTTTGACCGGGCACTAGGTTCCTTTCCTTCCAGTTTCTCTAAAGGAAGAAAAAAAAAAAAAATTTTGTTCGACTTGCCTTTTCAAATATCATTATAGATAATATTGCTCAGCATGACAACATGAATACGTGAATAAATTTTGCAGTATTCATGATTTATAGACTTGTAGGCATCCAGCACCCTTGAATTAGAGATGCCCAAAATATCTTATGAACCTGATAACTGATTCTAACAGCTGGAATAATAGTTAAAAATCAAGTTGACCGAAATTATAAATTTCAGGTTAAGATTTACGAATCTGAATTATGTTATATATATATATATACACATAATATACGTTCACTTTTTTTTTCCATAACTTTTGGAAATTTTTATATTAATTCCTTCTATAGTTGAAAAACCTATTACAATAAGTCTATATCATATCAATTAATAATTGCTAGTTATATTTAAAATACAGGACAAATATAAAATCAAGATAAACAATTATATCACATCGAAAGAAAATTTTTATAGTTAACATAACTACTTATAAGATTATAAGTTATCATTTTATTAGAATGTCAAGTAAATTGATGTTTTTTTTTCAGGTTTTAATAATAACATTGAATATTACATAAGTTTCTCCCATACATATCCGTTTACATGAGGGTGTATATATATTGTTTAAAACTATTTGATTTTTAATTAAGTTTTTATTTGAAGTATTGCACATGTTTAGAAATGAGTTTAGATTAACATGAAAACCAAATCTAAATCTAGAATAATCTTTGTTAATCGCACCTATAAATTCTTTAGTTGACAGATTCTTGTTCAAATTCACAAAAACATTGAACCTGAATTTCAATGTCTTTTTTGGTTACCGTTTTCCACCAAAGAATTGTGTTCTATGTATTAATTAAATGATTTTGATGGGAGAGGGAGGGCCAGGCCCCAGTCATCGTAGCAACAACTATCCCAGCCAAGGAATTAATTACATGTGATTATCCTTAATTTCTTTCAAATGCATGTCGGCGTTTGCAACGTACGATGCTAAAACAAAACATGGTAGAAGATGGAACTGGCATCTCTGAGGAACTGTTAACAAAAAATAGCTTATTCTTCATGATGTGGAGAGCAGTAGTAATTAATGTTGTGACTCTAGAAGCCATAATCGTCATTGTTCAATAAACTAGAGACAAGTGTACATGGTGAAGGTAATAAGGGCGTTTAGAATCAATGTTAGTAGAGATTTGGGAGGGATTTGAAGAATTCAGGGAGTCTTCTAGATTTATCTCTATTATAAAATCCTTTTCAAGCCTGAATTAACACAGTATGGATCGAAAGTATTTAAGATAAAGACTTCTTTTTTTTATTATTATGGACCAATCCAATTGTCAATCTTTCATTAGACAATACTTATGTATTTATAATTTGAAATATTTATTTTAAACAATATCAGGACAGACTAATTATAGCTTCCAACAAACTGAAAAACAAGCTATAAATTAAACTGATTTTTATTAGCAACTTCGAATTGTGATGGCATAGAATTCATAGAAGTTTTTAATGTTCAAGAACCCACCAAAAAATATGCCGATGAAACAAATAGATTTGTTTTTGATTTTTACAATTTAAAATTGTTGAATATATATAAAGCACCATGGGAGTTGAATATTTCTTTTCTTAGGATAGAAGATATTGTGTTCAATGCCATCCGAAACTAAATCCTCTACAAAAAGTCTAGATCATATCAAGATCAGAAGCAAAGCCTAATTACCTGGTTTTGGTAGCCCATGCGTTTCGTTTAGTAGCCCAAATTGTGCAAAAATAAAAAATAAAAAAAAATCTGTTTATTTATCTCTTTTCTCTCTCTCTCTCTCTCTCTCTTTCTAATTTTGGCTTAGGCTTCATCTGAGTTTCCAAAATGTAAAATGTAATTCAACAAATATCCCCACGAAACCAACACAGTAATCATCCATTCCATGTAAAATAACAATTAAAAAATTATTTCAAAAGAAAGAAATGAATTTATATTTTTTTTTATTCAACAAAGATGGGAATTCTCGAACCAGTTATATGTCAATCAAGATCCATCCTTCCCTCAAAAGGCTTGATAAATTCAAAAGAATTCAATAAATTTTCTTAAGTGCTAATCCCATAATTTAAAGTAAAAAAAATCAAAGAAGAAAACATAAATTTTTAACTATTGGATTAATCCCTTTTAATTTATAAATTTCTAATTGTTGTTCTCATTAAAAGATGGAGACATTAATTGAAGTAATTCACACAATCTCTCTCTTTCTCTCTCTCTCTCTCTCTGTTTTTTTTTTTGGCCTTTAATGAACGAAGTCAATTTTATTAATAATAAAAAAAAAACTAGATATAAACAGAATTAGAAACTTTGCAAGTAACAAATTTCGTACCCATGCAGCAAAATAAACGCGACAGAGAAGGTATGTGTAGAACTCGCAATTAGCTATAAGCTCTTACCTAAAAGAAAAACTCAAATCAAACGATGAGAAAAGAAAGAATAAATAAGAAAAGAGAGAAGAGACTATGGGAACATAAAGTACGTAGAAGTCAATCTTGAAAATTATTTATTAGTTTTTTTTTAGTTTTTTAAAACAAATTAAATAATTGTTTTTGTTTTAAAAATTAATTAATTAATCACTTGATCTGTGCTGATTATATCTCATTTAATATTATTTTGTTACAAAAAATATATGTTATTTTCTTATTAATTTTTTATATTAGACACTTCTTTTTTCTCTTTTATATTTCTTAAAACAGAATAAATTATAAAAGAACGTAAAATACATGAAAAAATAAATATAAAAATATAAAAACTAATCAAGTAGTTTTTGAAACTAAAAAGACTATTTACTTAATCTTCACTTTTGGTATTAGTTGCAACGTGTTTATGTTTTACCATACACACAAGATGCAATATATTGTCAAAAACAAAAACAAAAAAACAAGAAGCCTCCTGTGTCCAAAATTCCATTCCTTCCTCGAAAAAACAAGAATCAAAAGATTTCCACACACAAATAATGAAGACTCGGAGGTCAGAGATCTAATCATCAAATAATTTTTTTAAAAAAAAAACAAAGTGCAAATAGATAAATAAAAAGAAATTTCCAAATATAAACGAATAAAGAAAGAAGTATCCATGTAATCATCAAATTCTATTATGAGAACATAACATAATTCAGTGCAAACGTAAAATAGAAGTCTTCAAGATACCTATCCATGCTGCTCGAAAAGTTCACAACTAAACATTAACAAACATAAATATTTTCTACGTCTACGGTTCTGCTGCTTCATAACCTGCCACCTTGAAGAACGTCAACCTGCAACTAATATCACACAATGGACAACTTTTAGTATCTCATTTCTGTCATTTCTATGAAATCTCAATCACATCACACATATATAATTAAGCCACTGAACCATGGGCGTGTGTTTTGGGCTTCTTCCGTTGGCTTGAAATCATTATCAACTTTCAACTCGCAGTTCATGGAGCAGTTCCGGCTCTTGAGGAACACATAAATTATGAAAGAAAGAAGCAGTGAGAGGAGGCACCCAGCAACTCCTCCTGTAACACCCGAGGATTGGCCTCCCCTCGCCGAGTCTTGTGCAGGTGGGTATTGGTTGTAGCCGCCCATATATAACTCAACTGAAAATGGATCGATTAAAAAGAATTAGTAACGTTCAAAGTGAGATCAGAAACAGATATTATTCATAGCATCATATCATTACTGAATTCAGACGGAAAACATGCAGGAGGAGCCAGCAGAAGCAAGAGTTTAGGGTTTATAGGGGAAGTTGGGAACCACTGAGGTGGTATAATAAATAGCAAATATATCATGCGTCATCATAGACATCACCTCGATCTGATGACGATGGTGACTTAACTCACTACTGGTCTGATCGTTGGTTAATTGGAATTTGCTTTCTGTTTAATTTTTTGCATTTAAATATTAGAATCGGTATTTAAAAAATTAATAATTTTTGTTGAATTTATCAAGTTAATGTAAAAAAATATACATTTAAAATGATTTTAAAATTGATAAACAAAATGATTAAAAAATACTTTTATTTTAAAATATGAAAGAAAATCTCACAAAATATCGAAACTTCTAGAATTTTTTTTTAAAAAAGAAAGAAACAAGAACATTCTGGGCTTCTCGAGAAGGACTTCGAAGTTATTAAGAAAAAAAAAATTTAGCCGACACAACGAAGCAGAGACTAATTGAAGGTGGGGGCCAGCAGGAGTCGCTCGACATGCCGCTAGGGCCAAGGATTTAAACGTTCCCTTCGGTCCCTTTTTTCTAGAATTTTTCAATTCAATCCTTGTAAATAAAATGTTTCTTCCAATGTTTTCTCTTCGAAAAGATATCTTTCAATGCATTTCACTTACAAATGGATGCAAATTTTCCTTTCTTCCTTTAAAAAAGAAAATGTGATGCATCTTGTATCTTTTCTCAAAAAAATTCTGGCTGGATCCCTAAAACAAAATCTATTCACTTTTGTCCCTACGAAGAAAAAAATTTCTTGACCCCCCAACCCAGGTCTTCTTGTTCTTGGTCGACATACATATATATAGAGATGCTCAAAATTGAAAAACTACAAGCTTTGTCAGCAAGACAACGAAAAAAAATTCAAAATCTTTAGCCAATCTAAGAGTTTTCCCAAATCGGGGTATCATCAAACTGCCGTGAACACGGTTATACAAGTGTCGATATATTGGGAATACACTTGCAAATGTCTTTGTTTTATATAAATTTTTCATTAACTAATTTCCTTTGAATCTAATAGCTAATTTTTTATATCTCATGTTATTTTTTTTCTTTAATTATGTTTCCTTTCTGTTTTTTTTAGAAATAATGAATAAAGTATTTCTCTTCTGGACTATGTACTAAAGTATATATTTTTGTCCCAAAACAGAAATTAACATGTTGAATTTTCTTAATAATTAATGAGATGATTGAATTGATGTTAATAAAATATACATAAGTATGAGATATGAAGATAACAGTATAATATTAGGATATTTTGTTTTTTATTAAGTTATGATTTATATTTTGAAAAGAAATTGATACATATAAAAAATATATATATCGAATCAAATATCATATTGGATATTGCTATTGAGGAATTTGAAGTGCTATGTTTCAAAGGCTATGAGTTTATGATTTTTTTATTTTTTTAATCATCATGAGTTTATGATCCGAGGGAAGTATAATATATAGATTTTTATGCATTGAATGCCTTGAATAACCCTAGTCATTTCAGAATATCCAAAAAGTAAGAATAATGAGAATTTATGCATTGGTTTATGCGATAAAATATTTTGACATTTTTACTGATGAGTTCGAACGGCACGTGTAATTCAAAATGCTCCAAGCATATTATACTCAAAAACAAAATTCACCCTTACCTTAAAGACTGATTGATGCTTCAACAAAACACCAATATCCATTAAATCCTAAGTACCTATCTCGGACGAAGAAAAACATATTTCATTAACTATCACGATAAAAAAACATGTATTTAATAAAGATATTTTTTTAAAACTATTCTTATTCAATAGAAATTAGTAATGACAATACTAACGTTATGGACGAGCAAGTCACATCAAGAGAATAGATTTTTTAAATTGGCATTAAAGACTATTAATAGTCATGAAAAAGACTATCCTACTCTTTCCACGATATAACTTGACAACAGAAATCTCATGTATATAAAAATCTTAATCATTAAAAGTTTTAAATTCTTAATTTTGCGCTCTCTACTACATGATATTATTCATCATTTTTCTTTCGCACACAAAAATACATTGAAAGCTTAATTATGCTACTCGTCTCTCAAAACACTTACTTTATCATAGGAGAATCCCTCAATCCACTAGAATAATTTGTTTTGTAGATGACTCACATTGGAAGGATAATCAAGAATAACTAATCTCCATCGCTAATTAATCATTAACCATAGAAACTCATGTAATTCTTAGTTATTCTTGAGTTTTTTGGATTCAACATTTACAAACATTGCAAACACGGGGTTCCTAGACTCGTAGACTTGATGCATTACAAACATGGGGTTCTTAAACTCGTAGACTTGATCCATTCATTCATCAACTTTATTTTAGTTGATCATCTTTGCAAAGCATTTTCTCACAGGCATCAAATGACATGAGACTAATTAATTATATGAGGCTTTGATATTATATGCTTTTCTCTTCTTATTTTGCAAAAGTTCGATGTGATTAGTCTATTTTTACTTTTGTTTGTTTTGTGCAAAATAATTTTCAAAAAAATATTTATCTTTATTTTAAGTGTGAAGTAAGATGAAAAATATTTTTCAGACAACTCCTGAATGGTTTGACATAAACATATTTTAACCTCGCTAAGAAGGAAGCAATATTCTCTTTAATACCATCCACTCGCAAGATTAAGGATTGTTTTCGATTTAAAGTATGTCATTCAAGATGCCACGTGCTAACTATTACCTTGTCTTTTGAGCCCAATTCCAAAGTATCTTTAGAGCTCAAATCCAAAGCCCCTGCGACCCTTCTGTCAAGTGAGCTTCAAAAGGTGAAAGTCTTGAAAAAGTGCCCAATTCAGTTGCTCAATCTATTTGCTTAAACGGCTCTGAAGGCAGCTCGTCCATGGTCCAGAGGTGGAAATGGGAGAAAAACTTGAAGGAGAAATTACAAACTAGTCCTTTCACTCTGAAAAGTGAATTAATTAGTTCTTTTTTTTTCAAAAACTAATTATTTAGTCATTTTTGCTATTTTTAATTTTTTTGTTTTAAAAAATAGAAAAATGAATAAAAATATAAAAAAATTGATGAAAAAAGATATTTTATAAAATAAAAAATATTAAATTAATTGTGGTTAATACTAGTTAAAAAAAACTAAATAATTAGTTTTTAAAACTAGAAAGACTAATTAATTTATTTTTTAAAATGAGAGGGACTAATTTATAATTTACACATATATGAAGTTGTTACTAATCAATAAGTTAAATTAAATTAGTAAATTGGATCGCTTTTTATATGATCCTCAAAATAAACTTTGACTCTTTCAATTACAATTTTGACTAAATTTGTGAAAAAAAAAGAAAAAAAAAAGGAAGATTGAAGTTCAGTGGCAACATTGCAAAATTTTACAAGGGTTCTTTCTTTCTCTCTCTCTCTTTTTTTAAAAAAAAATCAAACAGGGGTGAAATTCAAACCTCCTTCTTTGTTAAATGATTAAATGTAATTTAACAAATTCTACATGGTCGTGGACTTTGAGAAATTATTAATTAGTCCTTTTCACTTTGAGAAATGAATTAATTAGTTCTTTTTGTTTCAAAAATTAATTATTTAGTCCTTTTTTTATTTTTTAACCTGTTTTTTTTTTAAGAAATAGAAAATTAAATAAAAATATAAAAAAATTGATGAAAAAATAAAATATTTTAGAAATAAAAATATTAAATTAATCATGATTAACACTAGTTAAAAATATAATAGTTAGTTTTTTAAAACTAAAAAGACTAATTAATTTATTTCTCGAAACGAGAGAGACTAATTTATAATTTACTCAAACTTAAAGTTGTTACTAATCAATAGGTTAAATTAAATTAGTAAATTGGATAGTTTTTTATATGATCCTCAAAATAAACTTTAACTATTTCCAAAAAGAAGAAGAAGAAGAAGAAGAAGAAGAAGAAGATTGAAGATCAGTGGTAACATTGCAAAATTTTACGAGGGTTATCTTTTTTCCTTTTTTTTAATCAAAAAGGGGTGAAATTCAAACCTCCTCCTTTGTTGAATGATTAAATGTAATTTAACAAATTCTACAGGGTCGTGGACTTTTGTATCCTACATCAAAATTTATCATGACCGTCTTGCCCTTCTATTACAATCATATTGCTCGTCCAGTCCTTTACTACTCTCATCCAAATTGCTTAATGCCGACTCGTCGGCCAGAAAGAGAAAAATTATCCACAAAAGGTTGTCCTTTCGCTTCGATTTTTCTCTCTGCGAAACCCTAATTAAAAATAATCGATAAATTACGCTCTGTGAATTCTTTCAGGTATTTCAGTTCTGATAATCTTCAATTTCCTTTTATTTTCCGTAATTAATTATTGTTATTACTTTATTTTTATTTTATTTTTTTGTAATTGCAACAAATTATGCACATCCCTTTTTTTTCTTTTTTTTCCCTAATTTATCATTGTTATTTCTTTATTATTATTATTATTATTATTTGTAATTGCGACTAATTATGCACATTCGTTTTTTTTATATATATAAATATAATCACGGCATCTCTTTCTTCATCATTGGTCAAAAACTGAAATTCAGTTGTGTTAATCTGATTTCATGCGTTGATTATTTGTTAAATGAATTAATGTTGCTTTCTTTTTTATGTTTTTTTTTTCAATTCTGTTTTTTCTTCAAGTTTTCACTTGGAGAGGCACTGCCTTTTGTTACAATTTCGTGTAATTTTTTTTTTGACATCCTGCTCTAGTGGCAGATAAAAACTGTTATTTTCATCTGGGGCACAAAGCCCAGTTGTGACGTACATATTTTATGCCTTTTTTATGGAGAAATTTATGTTCTGATATGGGGTTTTGTATTGCAGTGTTGGAGGGAGTAGAGATTATTGAAGTGTAGTGTAGGTTGGGGAAATAATGTCATCATCTGTATCGAGTCAGCCACAGTTCCGTCTTACCCAACCGCCGTCTAAGGTGTTGCATTTGAGAAACCTGCCGTGGGAGTGTACTGAAGAGGAATTGGTTGAGCTTGGAAAGCCGTTTGGTAAAGTTGTTAATACCAAGTGTAATGTTGGACCGAATAGAAATCAAGCTTTTATTGAATTTGTGAGTGTAATTGGTTTTTGTTTTGTTGGTTTTTAAGAGGTCTTTTTTTTTCTTTTGTTATTCTTAATATTGTTTGATGGTGTTCTTTTAGGCGGACTTGAATCAAGCTATTGCGATGATATCATATTATGCATCATCCTCGGAGCCTGCTCAAGTGCGAGGGAAGACAGTTTACTTGCAGTATTCTAATAGGCAGGAAATAGTGAACAACAAAACAACAGCTGATGTTGGTGGAAATGTGTTGTTGGTTACCATTGAAGGGGCAGATGCACGCCTTGTCAGCATTGATGTTTTGCATCTGGTAAGCAAATTGTATGATTTTGTGTTATCGTTAGAAGAGGTAAACATATTCTCCCCCAGGACGTTGTCGATTCTGTTCTTAGGTTGTAGTTTGTCATGCTTTGGATAGCTTTTGTTTGACATGAATTGAATGGATCAGCAGGCCCATGTCAAGGGAATATCTTCGATGGCAGCTTAGTGCATTGGGAGAAAGAGCGCATGTGTGTTTGTCTCCTTTCTCCTTTCCTTAACACTGCCTCTTTCTTCCCTACTCTTCCTCCTCAACTTCCTATTCCTACCATTAAAATAGTTTAGGATGTTTCATTCTTTTCTCCTCTGCTACCCTCTACCTTTACTTTCTGCATGATCTGTGCTGGTTTAGAGGTTTTCTTTTTTTGGTTCATGATGCGTAGTATTTTATTGTTTTGTGTACACATGGGGCGAGTCTATATGATTTATCCATTACTTTATAAAATCCTTTTTTGAAAATTAGGATTTTGCATCTAGTTTTACACTAGCTTCAGGATGTTGATTAATTATTATCAGATATTAATTTTATTTATTTTAGTTATTTGCTATTATTATTATTATTTATTTTGAATGGAAGATAAAATCACTGCTGTTCGTTTTCTTAGACAAAGATACGTATGGTGGGAAGTTTTTGTTCGTACTGGAGGATAGAAACAACTTTTTGTTACCTTGGATAAAGATTCATGGATCAGATGCAAATAATTTTTCTTCTGTGTTCAGAGTAATGTCTTGCTGGTATTTATGGAAATGTAGATATTAATTTGATCCGCTAAATTATATATTAGTTTAATGTTCTGAAGTTAAGTAATTCACTATGCGGAACCTTGGCACAAAGTGAAGTGGCCAACAACCATGCAAATTAGCCCCTCTGATGGGCAGCGCTTTAGGTTTTCTACATGTATTTGGTCTTTTACTGGTCTAATATGCATTAGTTGTTCTTGGGCTTTATTGAGAGGGATATTACTGAGTTTCACAGAAGCACCACCTATAGGATTTCCTTAGCTTCTCCTTGGATGTTCTAAAGATTCCTCTGAGATCTTTAGTCTATGACATCTGTATTTTGAATAATTGTTTTCTTCCATTGAATTCTATTTTTAATTATTATCTCAAGGTTATGTAAAGCTATGCATAGATGACAAAATTGCTTGTTTTGCCTATTTGTACAGTAGGATTTATTTATTTATTAATGTCATTTATTGCTTGACTGAGCTTGGACCTTAGTAACCTTCTTAGCTCAAAGACTAGTTCTTAAAAGTAAATTTGCATTGATGCAGGTATTTTCTGCCTTTGGGTTTGTTCATAAGATTACTACCTTTGAGAAGACAGCTGGATTCCAGGTCCATATGTTTAAGCTTATTCTGAAATTCTCTCTTTGATCTATTTTTGCTTCAACACAAGCTCATTTTGTGTGTGATTTTGCAGGCTTTGGTGCAATTCTCCGATGCAGAAACTGCCTCTTCTGCTAAAAATGCCCTGGATGGAAGAAACATCCCTAGGTGACAGTTGTTTAATTGTTTGACATGGTATTTAGTCTAACTGTTATGAGTGTGCAAATGAATTCAAATGGGCACTTATTCTGCCATTTTAGGTTAATTTTTATGGCCCATGTTTTGTTTTATACTTTTGATGGATTGTTTTGATAACCTATCTTTGTTTGACACACCTGTAAAAAAAAAATCACTGAATTATATGCCCGAGAATAAGGTTTCCACTCAAAAAGTTGTCAACTCGGGTCATTGAGAGAACATTAAAATGCTACATAGATATAGCTGTCCTTTTGATATGATTTGTAATTGCATAATGTTTCTATTGGTTCCAACTGTCTGTTTTTTGTCATCTAGTAACTTCTTTTGTCCTACATTTCAGTTATCTGCTTCCTGAACATCTTGGGCCGTGTACTCTTAGGATCACATATTCTGCTCATACAGATTTGAGTGTAAAATTCCAGAGCCATCGGAGCAGGTACTCTCTGGCTTTTTCCTTTTGGTATCTTGACAATCACACTTATTCTATGTTCAATGAGTTTTTGCTTCAGAACTCGTGTCTTGTTAATTGTTTCATGATGTTTCTAGTTCTGTTTGGCCTCCTCACTAAAATTTCATCTCATATTTATGTTGTTTGTAGCTTGAGCTCTCTGTTATCTCCACTGTTTTCCTAATTTGCTGTATTTAAACTTCTGTTGATTCAGGGACTACACCAATCCAAATCTTCCCGTTGCACCATCAGCAATAGATGCAAATGGAATGGTAAGGCGCTGTATAATTCACTTCAAACATTCTAAGAAGTGGCAGTCTGCTAATTCCATATAATGGCAAGCCTTTTGAATCTTAATCTCTAAATGTACCTGTGATTTACATTTGGTGCATTGACAAGGTTTGCCGTGGCTCCATATCGTTAATTTAGACCAGGCACCCATTTGCGAACCATCTGTTTTGTCATTTTCATATATTGTCCATGTCCTATTGACATATTCTTAACATAACCCCTTTACCTTTTTCAAAAAAAAATTAAAGTCATCCCTGCACTCTAGAAAAGATCCATTGAAAGAAATGACTGCTTGAAAAGGAAGAAAAAGACTCAAATATCCTCATAAACACAGCTCTCTCCCATCATCATCGTTGCCATCTCTCTACCTCAAATTGCTGTCACCACCTTATTTTTGTCACATCACCGATGTAGTCTTGATGGGTTATTGGTTTCTATGGCTAGATCGACTTCTCTTGATTAGATAACTGTCATCTTAGCTAGCTTGGCAAAAGAGAGAAATGAGGGCCGAGGCATACAGGGAAGAGCAAGATCAGTAGCTCTTAAAAGACCAGTGGATCTGCTACCGGATTCCCTATTTTGTTTGCATCCCTTAAAATCAAAATTTCATTGCAAATTAGTATGGTTTTGTGCTTGGATGGGAACTTAAGGCGAGAGTGATTTTTGAGTCCAAAGTTCTCTTTTACCGTGACCCATCTTCCCCTTCTCACAAACCTGCTTCCATATGCTGTTACATAACCCTCTTAAATTTTGTTTTTCTCTTGATTTTTTTTTCTTTTGGTAAAAATATCGATGAGGACGACATTTGGGCATGAGTTTGCAACGACATTGTTTTGCGAACCATGTAGGACTTCCTATACACAGGTTGTTGTTTGCTATGAGGAATGTGCCAAAGTTCTAATCTGAGGTCTTTTTTTGGGTCTTTGGATTAGAGGAGAAATGGGTATTTGTATTTTTTGTCTTAGAAAGTTTGGGTGAACGGTTTCTTAGTGGAGATATGTTAGTTGAACTGGGTTATCGTGGTGTTCTGATGGCATAGATTTCACTGGAACTAGCAGTCGGGATGGTTTTGGTGTGATGTACGCAGCAACTGGTTTGTTTTGGGCTGAGATGGTGGTTATTTAGGTTGGCAGAGGCGTTGCACTTGTGGTTGAGGAGCTGCATATATTCCTTCTTACTAAATGTGTGTCAATCTCTTATTTAGCTACTTAGTAAATATTTCTGTTTTAATTTCTTTTATTTTGGTAATTTTCTTTTCTAAATGTATATTTTCTTGTTTGTTCATTTTCTTCTTACTAAATATGTATGTATTTTTTTTTTAATGTATTTCTTGTGACAAGTGTGTTGAACTAACAGAAAAGTAACACTGTTGATAATAGAAGTGGATTGGAGTCTACATTTTTAACATTTCTTTAGTACAAGGATGGACTTGATGAAATAAAAATGTAGAGGGATCGCTTCAAGAACATGTCAATAGTACAAGGATGAAATATACAATTTAACCCTTCCGTTTATTATATATATATATGACCGTCTTTTCATTGTATGATGCTTGTGTGCAACTTTTCTGTGCATAGAAAAACATGATCTTATTTGCACATGCATGCATTGTTATTCAGTTTGATAATTTTAATTTCTTTCCTTTATCACTCCAGTTCAGTATGGGCCTTGACGGGAAAAAACTAGAGCCTGAGAGCAATGTTCTTCTTGCATCAATCGAGAACATGCAGTATGCTGTCACATTGGATGTTTTACACATGGTATTTGCACTCTTCATAACACTTTCTGGAGTTCTTGGTTCCCCAGGCCTTCCTCATTGCTGATTTTTTTTTTTTTTGCCCGTCAATGCTGTGTTAGGTCTTTTCTTCTTTTGGTCCTGTACAGAAGATTGCCATGTTTGATAAGAATGGCGGACTTCAGGCTTTAATTCAATACCCTGGTATTATTTAAATATCTTTACACTTGTGTTAACAGATAGAGTAGTTATTGACATGTCAAATGGTTTATTCATTAGGTCGCCCCAAATCCTATTGCTCCAACACTTGATCCATAAGTGCTAGGGATTTAACTGTTGCATTTCAGAATTTGTTCAAGGAATGTTTCCTACGGCCAACTTTGAGAGTATTTCAGATTGTGGTTGAGTAGGCAAAAAGTAGTTTTGAAGTCACAAAACTTGTTTGAGGTGGTTTTATAACCTTTCTGTAACATACCACAAGTTTGTTGCAAGCCATCCTTTTCAAAACACAATCCCAAAACATCCTTTATGAGGACAAAGTAAACAGAAGAAATAAGATTTCATGAGTTACCGTGGACTTAGCTGAGGTGGTTGCCGTAAATTTTTTTTTTCCACTTGATGTTTTAACAAAATATGGATGGAGAGGTGGTAAGAAAGAGTTGGCATTGAACATTTTTTTTTGTCTTTTTTTTTTTCCAGGGTTAGGGGAAAATGTCTTTGTATTTTCTTCCTTTCCTTTCTGATTTTTTTCCAGATTTGGAATCCAGTATGAGTAATTAATCATCTAATAAACTGCCTTAACAAGGATGATTTGCAGATTTATGGTTACTTTACATGTAATTCTGAATCCTGAAGATACTAAATTGCTGTTTTCATGGTGCCGTGGTTTGCAGATGTCCAGACAGCTGTTGTTGCCAAGGAAGCATTGGAAGGACACTGCATCTATGATGGAGGTTTTTGCAAACTTCACCTCTCGCACTCACGCCATAATGATCTCAGTATAAAGGTAACCAGACTTGAGAATATAATTTCATTTTTGAGCTCACCATAATAGTGAGTGCATTCTTATAATCTCGCAGGACTTTTCAGTCCAATTGTTTGAGTCCTTTTGAAAGAACGGAGAGAAAATCTGATTCTAGACATACATGGAGATGTGTTTTTACGTCTTTTATTTAAACACGCAGACTGTTCAATCTAAAACTTGATAAGTCCATTGCAGGTCAATAATGATAGGAGCAGAGACTACACAATTCCCAACAATGTAATGGTGAACCCCCAGCCTTCAATTCTAGGGCAGCAGCCAGTTGCAACCCATGGTCCTCCTGGTCATCCATACACTGGAGCTCAGTTCGCTCCAAATACAAGTCATTCAATGATGCCTCAGCCTTCTGCTGGATGGGCCACAGGCGTTCCACCGGTACCCCATTCCATGCCTGGCCAGATGAACAATAATCCTTACTTGCCACCTGGAACTATGCCACCTCAAATGGGCCATGGAATGATGCAGATGCCCAGCCATGGTGGCCCACCACATGCTCATGCGATGCCCCCTTATAGACCTGATCACATGCAATAGCACCCACTCTTATTCAGTTCTATTAAATCTGTTTCACATTCAAGAATCTGCAGAAGTGGAGCAAGCTTTTTAAGGAGAATACCACTGTTGAAAACAAGTTACTTCCTGGAGATCTCACTGTTTCAAAGCTGAATTGCTTTCAATATTTCTTCTCTTTCAGCTATTTTGTAGGTGAGATTGATGTAAACAACAAGCTCAGGCACCTTTGTCTGGTTCTAGGATTGTACTGAACTGCAGTTATCGTCGTTAATGGTGTTGTGAGATATTTTGACTCCCACAATTTGTTTATTACTGGAAAGGTAATGGGCAAAAGTTAATATTGCCAGAAATATGTTACGTTCTGTGCCCACGAATGCGGCCGTAACGTTTTGATTTCTTCACTAGAAGTGTTCAAGCTAGCATCCGTAAGTGTGATAAATTTTGAATTGTTTGTTCAAGCAGCTTCTTTGGTGGCGTTAGAACTGAAGATTTTTGCCAAGACTTTTACTGGCCATCAATAGGATCTTGAAGAAGTGTTGGTCTTGCTTTTATCTAATTCTCTCTCTCTCTCTCTCTCTCTCTCTCTCTCTAGTCCTCCTCTTTCCTTCATTAGCAGTCGCCCAAATACTATTTTGTGTTAAACCTGTCGATTCGTGTTCCATTTCGTTCTGGCTTGATGGCCCATTATTAATTTATGAACCTTATTGGCCTATGCTTGTGCTGTTTCTGGCTTGTGTAACTGGACATCGTTTCCATCAACTCTCAAATTGGGAATATGAGACTTACCCTCCTATTAAAAAAAGGTGTTCAATCTAATAATTCCTTCCTCTGCTCCTTCTGCTTTTTATATTTTCTTAATGTGTTTTTTTTATTATCACGTTCTTTTATTTTAAATATTTTTTAATGTGGCTTTTTATGGGATTTTATTCAATTTTTCTGATAATTAATGATAAATGGTATTCGACACTAGATAGAAGTGACACAGGATATGAAATTAACACATGACAATAAAAGAAAAAAACAAAAAATCAATAGAAACCAATTAAATTAAATTAAAAGAGCAAGTTAATTATCTTTTTTTTTTTAATGATGTATAAATTTTATATGTTGTGTCATTTTATGATGTATTTATATTTGACGTGATAAATAAACAAAAATTAAAAACTACATTAAAAATATAAAAAATAAAAAGATGAATCATGCAATTAACCCTATAGAAAAATCTTTTCACACGAGGTTAACAATTAATGTCTTCTTCCTTCCCTGTTTACTTCTTTCCTAAACAGACCACTAACAAAACCAAAGAAACAAGTCTTCTTTCTTGGAAAAACATTGCAAACCCATGTCAAAAAAATCACAAACTACCTGAAAAGTGTTGAAATATATGTACAAAATTTTGTAACGTCGGAAAAAAAAAAACCATTGATGTTGACAACATTCATATATGTATATATGTGTGTGTGTTTACGTTATTTTTGTCAAATTTTATCTGTATTTTATATAATGTAATAATATCATGTGCCAGACATTATATATAAATGACCTTCATCACTGAAAAAGAATTTGACCTTCATTTTTTTTAATTTGTTGAGAATTAAGATCACTGTGAAAGAATTTAATCTCAATATGCAAAAATTAGTACTGTAATATATAGGAGTAATTACCAATTAATTGAGAGTAAAAACAAAAAGGAAACTCATCCCATTAGATAGTTTGAGTTCCAAGTTTCAAGGTCGATCCAAAGTGAAAAAAAGAGACCAAACTGAACGCAAGTAAGTAGGAAAGATAGGAATCACACAAAAAGCCGGCGCCAATTTCAATCAATCCATTTCCAAACGCAAAGATAAGATTACTTCTTCTCTTCTTCGCTTCCCTTCCTACACTTTTTGTGGTTCTCAAAACTCCCTCCTCTTTTCCCTCTGTATCTCTCTCTCTCTCCCCAAAACCATAGAGAGGGAAACAGAGATTTCTTCTTTTGTTTTGATAGGTTTATTTATAAACCCTAAAAGTTTATTCATCATCAACAATGACTATCACTTTACAAGCTTCTCTTCTTTTCAGACCTTCGCCACACTCTCTGTATTCTCCTTCAAAAAGACACAGCTTTCACCACCCCATCAACTCATCTCTTTCTCTCTCGAAAACCCTGTTTTTTCCTTCTCTAAACCTCCGACTCCGCCCTTTCTTAATCCCTTCTGCATTGCACCCTGACAATGCTGACCCAGTTCCCGAAACAGTCCCTCCAATTTCAAATTACGAACAAACACAAGAGGCAGTGGATGTAGTGGAGAGCATTGAGAGTGGAAGGCTGGGGGAGGAAGGACAGGGAGGTGATTTAGTGGAGGAGAAAGAAGGCAGTGGTGGTGGTGGGGTTTATGATGGGAATGGGAGAATAAGAGTGGTGGTGTTTTTGATGGGGTTATGGGCTACAATGAAAACTGGGTTTCATAAATTGTGGATGTTAATGGGTTCTTATTCTTCTAATTGGTTTAGTTTTAGTTGGTTGCCATTTTGGAAACAAGATAAGAAATTAGAGAAATTGATTGCTGAAGCTGAAGCTAATCCTAAAGATGCTGAGAAACAAACTGCTCTTTTAGTTGAGCTTAATAAGCACAGGTTTGGCTTTATTTGTTGACAAGTTTTTGTGGGTTCTTTTTGGTATGGTGATTTGAAGTTAAAGTTTTGGACTTTGGTGTATGTTCGGTTTCTGGGAGATTGCTCAATGAATTGAATTTGATGATTTTTGTTGAAATTTTGAGTTTTATTTGGTTTACTATATTATGTGTTTGGTTGCTGAGAATTTGGTAAAGAAATTGAATTTTGTCGTGCTTGTTAATTTTTTGAGGTTGTTATGTTATTTGCTTGGTGAATGAGAATTGGTTAATTAACTGGATGTTTTTTTCTTGGGTTTGGAATTTTATCTGTTTGGTTGTGAGAAACTGATGGAACAATCGAATTTTATGGGTTTTTTTTTAAAAAAAATTTTTAGAGTATTTTTTTGGTTAAATATACTGTCTTCTTTTGGATGCTTAGAAATTGATGAAAGGCACTGATTTTGGCCCTCTTTTTGTTTAAATTTTAAGCCTTCTGCTTTAGTTTGGTGTTTGTTGAGAAATTGGCATGAGAAATCAATTTGATTATGTCTTTAATTTGTTGATTTTTTTTTCAATTATTACTGTTTGCAGTCCCGAGTCTGTGATTAAGAGGTTTGAACAAAGAGACCATGCAGTGGATAGCAAAGGAGTTGCTGAGTATCTTAGAGCTCTTGTGGTTACTAATTCTCTTGCCGAATATCTTCCTGATGAACAATCAGGAAAGCCTTCCAGTCTTCCTGCTTTGGTAGAATAAAGCACATATTTGTGTGTTGTTCAGTTAGTTAGATATATGATGTTTGGTGCGGTAGGTTTCTGCACTATATTTAACTGATTAATGTTTAATCTGTAGTTGCAAGAATTGAAGCAGCGTGCATTAGGGGACACAGATAAGCCATTTATGAACCCAGGCATATCTGAGAAGCAACCATTGCATGTGCTGATGGTAAGAATTAATAATAATTTGTTGTGCCGGTGACCTTGTATTTGGAACAAGGTGATTTAATGCTTTCTGCTTTTGGTTTTAGAAGATAAAATGTGAATAAATTGTTGTTTCTAAATTTTATTGTTCTGTTGGCTTTTGGTAGGTTGATCCTAAGGTGTCAAACAAGTCACGGTTTGCTCAAGAGCTTATCTCCACTATCTTGTTCACTGTTGCTGTTGGATTGATTTGGTATGAGGTCTTGTATTTCCTTTGTGCACTTTCTTTCACAATTTCCATCTCTATTTCTCTACCTTATCAGATATGGAATCCATTTTCAGGATAATGGGTGCTGCTGCACTTCAAAAGTATATAGGGAGTCTGGGTGGAATTGGAGCTTCAGGAGTTGGCTCAAGTTCTTCTTATACTCCAAAAGAGCTGAATAAAGAATTTATGCCAGAGAAAGTGAGTTTTCAACATTTTGTGCTGGAACATTCATGGGTGTTTTAGAATCTTGCTACCTTAAGTTATGCAAGATTGCTTTGTTTCTATTTCTCTATGGCGTGTAAAGAAGATTAATAGAATAGGTTTAATTTGTTGGATGTGTTCCTGTTTCTGTCTCTTAGCAAGGGGCATAAAGCAAGATTAGATATTTTAAGTTGGGATAGTAGGGAAGACAGATGAGAACTTTGGTTTAGCGGTGAAACTTTTAATTTTGATCAACAGTTACTATGTTGGAGAAATTATATCTTGGAAAGTCATATTCTTTTATTGTATATATAGCTCTTGTATTTTAACATATAACAATTGGTCTTGACTTTGTTTATCGCAGAATGTTAAAACATTTAAGGATGTTAAAGGTTGTGATGATGCAAAACAAGAGCTTGAGGAAGTAGTGGAGTATCTCAAAAACCCAACAAAATTTACTCGCCTTGGGGGAAGTTGCCAAAGGTTTGTGCAAAATATTTGTTGTTATAATATGTAAGATATGGTTGTGTACTTCCAAGGGGCCCTACAGTGTGCAAGTATCCTTGTCATAGCTCATATATCGGTCAAGCAAGTTTGATTGTGTTCCAGTTGTCATGAATAACTTCAATCGTTTACCTCTCTATTTTGATTCAAAAGTCATACTCATGATACCATTACCTCTGATTCTTCTTGTACTATTCTCTATAAGTATAAAACTCATTACCAAACATATTTTACGTTGGAATTTGACTTGCTCTTTTCATTTCTGCCTACTTGTTTCCAGAAACATGAGTTTAACGCCATTCCACTGCAGGGAATTCTTTTGACAGGAGCACCTGGTACAGGAAAAACTTTGCTTGCCAAGGTAACTATTACTTGTATAATTTTTAGGATGGGTTTTTCACTTGTTGTGTATTTCTTGTCCTTTGGTACATTGTCTTTAGCTATTGACCACTTCAATTTTCTCCTACTGGAATTCTATCTTTGAAGTTCTTGATCTATAGATAACAACCCTTGTGTCATTTAGTCATACATATCAAATGGCATGCTGAGTGACAGTATAGATTCTAACTTCAAATTTCCTGAACAAATCAACCATGTCATTTCCTGTGTTCAAGATGGTATTTTGCAAAGTCTCTTATTGGATGATCATCCTTTCTTTAATTTATGGTCATGAGTACTGGTCATCTATGTTTTTATTCCTATGTTTCTTCTGACAATTGTTTTATCTTGAATCTCAAGGCCATTGCTGGAGAAGCTGGAGTACCTTTTTTCTATAGAGCAGGATCTGAATTTGAGGAAATGTGAGTCACCTTTTACCTTATATAGATTTTCTCATTAACTGACAATAATAGAAAGAGAATTTGTACAGTATCTTATTTTGATGCTGCTTTTCTTGGGGAAGACAATGCACCTAAGCTCTTTTTATGCTCCAATGATTAATGGTAAAATTTTGAAGTGGCAGTATGAATTTGCATTTGGACTGCATATTAAGAAAAATTTCTAGCAGAAGTGTAGAATATGATAGTTCTCTTACTTGGCAGCAAGAGTGAAGAAAAGATGCATTGGGTTGCTTGACCATATTGGTCATGGTGTATGAGATGGCCCTGCCACGTTCTCAACTTGTCTGTTGAGTGGTGTTCTATCATGTTTGAGTAATTGATGGATGTCTAGAAATAGCTTGAGATGAGTTGATTCTTTCACTTGTCATGCTTGGCAGCAACACGTGAAGTGTTGAAGAAATTGTTGGTGGAAAGAACAAAAATCACTGATTTGGCTATGTATTTATGAGAAAAGGCTGCAGCTTTGACATGTTGAGTTGCAGAAAAGTGGAAGAGAATGAGGAGACAATGATTTGGCTGTGTATTTATGAGGAAAGGCTGCTGGATCTACATTCAATGCTTAAGTTGATTGACGATATTGGATTAAAATGCCATGCAACTGTAGTCTTTTGAATCTCCTGGAGCACCTGAATGGCCGATCCAACTATCAAGTGATCACAGCATGCTTAGAACATTTTAGATTGAACATTTGTGTTTAAGTGCAGATGGTTTCTTGGACAGGAAGGCTCCTAGATTGTGTCAAATATTGTTTATATATGGTAGTGAGTTTTGCATGATCTGGAGGAGGGTAGAACAATTATTGTTGGTGTCTTTTCTGGGTTTGGAAAGGGAGATAGATTATAAGATTTTGGGAGATGTGCTGTGACTGCAGTATCTTGGTGCATTTCGATGGAGAGGGATGTGAGGATTTTAATAATCTTTATATCAAAGCAGTTGTTATAGGATTGGCTTAGTCTTCTTGGCACCTCTCTAGTGGATGTACAAGGGGATTGGAGTGCTTTGTTATCTTGAACTAGATTGTTGTTTCTTTTTGCTTTCGGAAGGATGTCTAATTCTCCAATTTTGTGCTATTGAAACTCCATCTTCTAATAATAGTATCTTCTTTAATCGAAAAATTATATTCTAGTCTCATCTTGCTTTTTGTGCTGCAGGTTTGTTGGAGTTGGTGCTCGGCGTGTAAGGTCCTTATTTCAAGCAGCTAAAAAGAAGGTTTGTTGTTTCTGTGACTTTTCTTTTTGGCAATTCAGTAAACAAATAAAAACAAACAAATAGATAATATTTTAAAATCATCTTGGTACCCATTTCTAGGACTTCTTCTCTTCTAGCTAAACAATATGCACTGCTGAAAATGGCATTGCATTATGTTTCTTTTATGTCTTCACGATTTCCTAGACATACAAGATGGATATTCAATAGGCATGGGCAAGGCCGAGGGCATTTTCTTGAAATAAAGGAGTTTTTGTTATGATACTAAGAATGTATAAAAGATTGGTGTTATCTTTTATCCACCATCTAAATAACTTGTTATTGGTGTTTGTAATTTTCTATAATCTGTTGACGGTATTTCTTTTCCCTTTCTGCTGGTCAGCAAGGTGTGAATTGTCTGGTTGGATTTTTCTCTTCTCAATATTTTGAGTATTCTAGTTCAGCATACTGATTTAGTAATTCTGCTCTGGCTTAATGAAAATCCATAGCCAGCTATATAATCCTAAACAACAGAATAAAAGAAGAATATAATTCAATAGGAATATGTTTGTTTCCTAAGTCAATCATCCAGACCTTGTCTTAAATTACATGCATCATTGAAACTTTGTGAAGTCTGAGCCATATGGTGATGGCTTACTACCGTGCTTTTCCTTTTCATTGTATAATTAACAGTATTTTTCATTTTGTAGGCTCCTTGTATCATTTTTATTGATGAAATTGATGCTGTTGGGTCAACAAGGAAACAATGGGAAGGCCATACAAAGAAGACGTTGCATCAGCTACTTGTTGAAATGGATGGTTTTGAACAGAATGAGGTACCCGTAGACAAGCTTGTAATATAATATGTCAGTTCATTGCCACCTTTCTAACCTTGTTTAATTTTTTCCCCTGCAGGGAATAATATTGATGGCTGCAACAAACTTGCCTGATATTCTTGATCCAGCTTTGACCAGGCCTGGTAGATTTGACCGTCATGTATGTTAGAGTATCCTCTTTTATTTCTCTGAGCTTTGAAAATCAAAATAATATGGTGTTTTAAGGTGAATATGTTTTACAGAACCGTCAAACTCGTGGTTCTGCTGGTAAATTCTACTTTCTAGGTTATTTTAAGTTTGTGGATGGGTGTCCATGTGTTTAAATGTCATCTATTTATTATTTGAATAAATGTTCAGCTTGTATAGTTCTTGCTTTCAAGTATATCCTTGGTGATATGACTGACAAGAACCCCTTTTAGATTGTTGTTCCAAATCCTGACGTTAAAGGTCGACAAGAGATTTTAGAGCTCTACCTGCAAGATAAGCCTATGGATGATGATGTAGATGTTAAATCAATTGCTCGTGGCACCCCAGGCTTCAATGGAGCAGGTGGGTCATTTGATTGAAGCAGCATATTTTGGTTTCCTGCACGAGTTTATTCAATTTAGCCAACAAACTTTTCCATTGCTTCTTGTTTTGCAATCAGATCTCGCAAACTTGGTAAACATTGCAGCTATTAAAGCTGCTGTTGAAGGAGCTGAGAAGTTAACTGCTACACAATTGGAGTTTGCAAAAGACAGGATAATTATGGGTACTGAGCGGAAAACAATGTTCATTTCCGAAGAGTCAAAGAAGGTATGTATATATAAATCACGAGGCAATCTTTAGAGTAGTAGATTTGGATGATTACCATGCATGGTTAACATTTTGCTATATATTGGCCTAAGCTGAACTATTTCTTTCTACCATTTTCAGTTGGTACAGACTTGGGGAATGGGATTTATTATTAATTTATTATCATATATGGGAAGCAAATGAGACCATTGCATGTCCTGCTGTCCTGCACAAACTCTTCAGCATTTCAGCTAACTTGGAATCATCCAGTGAGATTCATTACTGTTGATTGCTGATGTTATTACACTTGTTTCCAGTTAACAGCATATCATGAGAGTGGCCATGCTATTGTAGCTTTCAATACCGAGGGTGCACACCCGATTCACAAGGCAACTATAATGCCACGTGGATCTGCTTTAGGAATGGTCACCCAGCTTCCTTCAAGCGATGAAACGTCAATTAGTAAAAAGCAGTTATTAGCTCGGCTTGATGTTTGTATGGGAGGAAGAGTTGCGGAAGAGCTCATATTTGGTCAGGACCATGTCACAACTGGAGCAAGTAGTGATCTTCACACAGCTACAGAGCTTGCACAGTATATGGTATGTGTTTGCATGCTAAAGTTGCATTTCTTTTGGTTTATCAAGCTACCAAATCACAATGAGTACAGTGGTTACATCTAAGTTGGATTCAATCAATAGGCACAAAATGCATTCTAATGGTATCTTCATCTTTCCAAGGTATCAAGTTGTGGGATGAGCGACGCAATTGGACCAATACATATTAAAGAAAGACCAAGTTCAGAAATGCAGTCACGTGTTGATGCTGAAGTATGTTTTTGAATCCCGGCCTTGTTTGTGGATTTTTTTTTTTTTTTTTTTGTGATTTTTTTTGTGGATCCCTGGTCATGGTTTTGGAATAATTGTGTGGTTTGTTTGGTCCGTTCTGTAGGTGTTGAAACTCCTAAGAGATGCATATGATCGTGTGAAAGCCTTGCTAAAGAAGGTTTGTTCTTATGATTCAGTATTGTTTTTGAGAAGGATACATCCACCCACTATCAGGCTTTACTTATTGTTGTTATTTTTCCTTGGTAAAATGTGCACTAGGAACTTTATGTTAGTGGAGCTTAGACATTAGACAAGAGACATGAAACCAACCCCCCACCACCCCCCAAAATAATCTCTGTCCAGTCCCTTAGAACTATTTTGGAAAGCGTTCCCTTTGAACAACATTATATAGTGGAAAGTTATCTGTCAGCAGTTAAATTCTTTCTGTTGTTGTTCCTGTGTACCTTTACTACATGAGCTTCGTTGCTGATAGCTAAACGTTCTAGTTTATTAGAATTAGATCAGCGACAGGCCCTTCTTATGCTGACCTTCTATTTAAGTTGTCCTCTTAAAGACTCTCTTGCAAGCCTAACTAGGTTGATTATCTTGAGGAAATAGCTTCTGTGTGCCTTTAGTGCTCGAATAGGCAAAATGCTATATACTCTGTACAAGCTTTTGAATTTCTCTATTGCAAATTCTAGCAGTCACTGACTTTTTTCTTTGATTTTTTGCAGCACGAGAAGGCATTACATGCACTAGCAAATGCTCTTTTAGAGTATGAAACACTTAGTGCAGAAGAAATAAAGCGTATTCTTCTTCCCTACCGTGAAGGATGGGAAGGACGGCCAGAGCAACAAGAAGTAGTGCTAGAAGAAGGGGAGCTTGTATTGGCTTAATGATCATGATCTAATTTACCATGGGAGAGATTCTGTACAGTATATTTAGAGCAGCACAGGTGATTATTTATACAATCCATCTCCAATTCTCCCCATCCGTGTTTCGTATGATGTGTGATAGAAATTCTATTCGTACACCCTCGAGCATCCGAATACACACCTCCGATCGGACAGGCAGCGGACAGTGATAGATCATGCACTGTGTTCATACATGTATTGTTTGAACGTTTACCCCAAATGTGGGTAAAATTTTGAACATATAAGATTTGATGTTTATAGGCAGGGCAGGACAGGCTTTATGGTATTTTTTGAACTTTAATCTTTGTTGCATCACTCATTTACCCTTTCACTCGTTTACTCCTTTGTGTTCATCATCCATCCATGTCTTTTGTCACCGGCCACTCCCTTGGACTGTGTTGTATTATTTTGATTTTTTTTTTTTTGTTAATATTATATTATTTTGATATTTAGTTGCAAATTGAGGACAATTATTGGAATATACTTAAATTAAATAAAAAAATAATTGTATTGGATCAACTAAATGTGTAAGGTGCATGATTTACTTACTGTTAACAACAGTAATTTAAATTTTGTTCAAATATCTTTCAACGTTGTGAGTTTTGTCACTCGCCTATTCAATAAAAACAAATAAATTTTTTGTTACTTTAAAATATTTATAGAAGCTTTGGAAATTATATATAAAATAATAGTAATAGATGGTAAAACCTAAAAAGTATTCATGAAATATACAACTTGATTTTCAAAACCTTTATTTGACATGCATTCTAAGAATAATGAAACTAATTCACAATATTGATGTGAACTCAGGTGTCTAAGAATTTTATGTATTATTACTGACACTATAAAAATTGAAAATGATTTGTAAGCCATGACATTAATTGCTAAAGCAAATATATATATATATATATATAATTGGACTTTCATATTTATTAATAATGTATAAGAAAAAAATATATACATTCACAAATTTCTATAAAAATATTATTTTTACTTAAACAACTAATAACATTTAATTATATTTAGAATGTCAAAGAAATTACCTTATAATTTTATTCCTTTTGATGAAAAAAAAAAAAAAAAACAGATTTTTGAACATAAATATTTGGTACAAATATATTTGGTTACATGTACAAATATGTGTGTGTGTGTGTGTATGTATCAAAATCGATATTAAAATTTTAAGAATTGATTTTTAAATAAACTAAAATTTAGAAAGATTTGACCTATATACCACAAATATATTCTCTTGTATAATAGAGTTTAAAAATATAACTAAAAAGGTCTAATCATCTCTTAATTTTAAATTATTTAAAATTGAGTATATAAACTTTTTTATTAGTTTTGAAGATTCATGAACTTTTAATTTTTTTAAAAAAAATTTAGCCTATCCTTTAGTTTTCTATCATTTATCTCAAAATATAACAATTACATTAATAGTTTTATGATGAAAATCACTTAGTGAGATATTTGTGGGGATTCTCAAAAAAATTAGTGTTATTTTCTAATTTTCCCAATTTTCTATATTTTTAATGTTCAAAAAATAAAAAATATGAGTTTTCATTTTTAAAAATTATGTAATTTTTCTACAAAAGTGATTGAAATTTTTTTCAAAGTGTTTGCAAAACTTCAGCTTAAAATACCAAGAATTAAATTTTTTAAAGAAGAAGATGATAGTTAAAAAAATTTGGATGGACTAAATCTCAAAAAATTAAAAGTTTAGAAATTTTCAAAACTAATAAAAAAAAATTCAAGAATCTAAACCCAAATGGCTTAAAAGTTCAGGAATTGTTAAACCCTTTTGGCCCAAAAATATTTCTGAAAAGAAGATCTTGTTGGTAATTAAATATTAAATTTATCATATAGTAAAAAGTTAAGTATTTTTTTCTTTCACATATAAGAAAATCAATATATTTTAAGAATTAGATCAGAAAACAAATGATATAGAAAATATATTAATACTTCACTCCTTCAAGGATGCGAAAACAGTGTAGCATTAAAGCCAGTCCCTATAAATTGTAATTAGAAAAACTAGTGACAAAGAAATAGCATTCTCTCTAACTTAAATTACAGCTGTTCTAGATGTTAAGTTTACCAAACTTCTACTGTGCTTTGTAAGAACCAGAAAACAGAAAAAGCCAACCCTTTCCAGCATGAATTTTACAACCATAAAGCATGTCCCCGCGACCAAAACCCCCTATACCATTGAAAGAGAACCGAAGCTTTCTTTTTTCCTTTTCATTCACAAGCATGAGAAACTTATAAGCGTGTGGTTCTTGAGCTCCAGCATATAAATTTAAAAGGGAAGAGAAAACATAACAATTACAAGGAAAGATAGTGCAAGAGTGTCTGAAGATGGAAGAAAGTACTACTGCTGGCAGTCGGTCTTTAGAGACTCCTGGATAAAAAAGCCCCCGTAGCTTCACCCTTCACAACTGTAGCCTCCACCACATCTATGGTCCAGCCACCATAGCTTCACCCTTTGCAACTGTAGCTTCCACCACATCTCTGGTCCAGAATTTTTTTACATATGATCAATGGGCTCGGTTCGGTCCTGCACTGCAAGGCGCTCTGAGACGTCGGCTAGTGATTTGAGATTGCACTTGATTAAAGCTTCGATAAAGTAGCATGTCTCATCCATAGTGTTCCCATCAGGTACATCCACCACGAAAGACTCAATCACCAGAGTCCCTGGTCGTCCATCAATGATCTCCGGATGGAGGGAAATGATTGAAGAATAGTTCTGGGGCAAAGAAAAAAAAATTAAAACCAGGTTGGGCTCGTTTGAATTGATAAGGAGAGAAAAGTGAGAACTTTAAAAATCAAGAGTCAAGAAAGAGAACAGAGAACTAGGGCCTTTAGGCTTTCAATATGTCACTCGATTGCAACTACCCACCAATGATCATATTTCTAAACAATTTACCGATATTCTCTATAACTTGTAAGCAACAATGGAAAGGAATGCCAAACCTAGTTATTTTATTGGATTTCATTCAAGTGGCAATATTCACGAGTATAACTTCAAAACATGTCAACCTCAGAGACCTAAATTTCAATACTATGATCTTTTTTTAGCAAATTTTGAATGACAAACAAATCAACTTTCCTACAAACTCATGATATGTGAATGACAGTCAGGTGAAACTAGGGATTGGCAGATCACAAGGCAGAAGATGCATCACAAATTGCGCTTTTCAGGAGGCTAAAACAATTTCACAGGAAATAGAGATCATACATATCAATCAAGAGAAAGAAAAGAAAACGTAGATTCAGCACCTTAAGTCTGTGATCCCCGCCAACTATCCTGATGCTGAGAATATGCTCATCATCATCGAGAATTTCCAATCTTTCAGTGCTTGTGGTGGCAGGAAGCCCTGACCTAACATCTACTTCTCTAAGACTCCCAATCTCAAGATTTCCCAGTACAACACACCTGCTGATGAAAGGCTTGTACTTCTGTGGTTGATCAAATCTTCTCACCAATGACCAAACCTATTGGAACCAAAGGAAAACTTCAGAGATGATTACATAAACCATAAAAAAAACAACAAAAGGAAATTGGTTAACTATCAAATTCCGAAGAGAATAGAATCCAAGATATTCTTGAAAGACAAATCATTTCCAAAGTTTTACTCAGTATTGATTCTCCTTTAAACATGCATATTCTTTTCATAAAGGATTCTCTAATACAGACCATCCAGTTGGATGGTAAGAACAGTGCATGAAAAAGGTATATGTGGCACTTCTCACGTTATTCGTCCCAAGTAAAAGTAAAAAAGAAAAAAGAAAAAATACAACTAAATGACTAGTTGCAATTAGCGATTTAGTTGCAATTAGTGATTTAGTTCGACTGTACTGGACTACCTGGTTTCCTTTAATTCAAACCTGGACATGTTTCTGTCGGGCAAAACTCAAAATTTTGATTCTTCAGTTTCATGATTTTCCAAAAGTCTAAACAGTACAGTTTAGAAAAAGAATGGCAGAAGTCATAGCTATACCCGACAAAGACCTTAAGAAATCCTAATGCAAGAAAGAAACTACAAACAGAAAAAACAACTGAATTTAATCAAGGAATTGGTATTTCAATTAATGAATTTCTCATTTTCACTCTTTACAGCTTGCCTTGAAAGAAAACCAATACTTGCATATTCCAGACCAAAAGAAGTTAGATTGAACTGTAAGCATTACAATTATACATCCAAAAAAATGAATATGTATCTCTCTCCTCTTTTCCTGACTTTTCTCAGCATCCAAACAGAGGTCAAAGGAAGAGGTTCATAAATCAAACACGCCAAAATGAAAAAAATAACTCCATAGTCCATACACAATCATCTAAACTAAAAAAAACAAAACAAAACATAAATAATAGATCAGGGCCAATCAATCAAAAAATTCAAACTTTCCGAATCTTCACACACAAAACACACTTTTAATGAAACCATTGACCAATAAAAAGAAAACCCAGAAAACAAAATCCAAATAAAACAATAACACAGGCAGATACATATCAATTCACGCAACACATATTCACAAATATAGAAATTAGAAGGAAAGAGAAAGTTCGAAACTTTACAAGATGAACTGGAGCTTTGATGTGCTTCACAAGAGCAGAACTACACTGATGGTCAGCAAGATCATCATGTGTATGATGCCTTCTTATATATTCACTCTCAACACTTCCTATTCCTCCTCTTCCATTATAATTTCCATTCATTTTCTCTCCTTTTCCTTTTAAACAAACACACCCTTTACTTCTCTCTTTCTCTATTAACCATCAAAGATATCAATAAACTGACAATAACCCACTTTGTATCTCTGCAAGAATGATTTTTCTCTGTTGCCGAAAGTCTTCTCCGGTCACCGGCCGGTGAGAATTGTAACTAAGTTTATGGTGTTGTGTGTGAGAAGAAATAACTCGAGCCACTCTATCATATCATATCATATATCATATCACATCATTGCCTGAAATTAAAGTATTAAAAGGTAAAAAACGACAGCTGAAATATATAGTTTTGTTATTTTGCTTTATTGACGGAATTGCCCTTAGCTAAAACAAGAAAGAATTCCCTTTATAGTTTCTTACCAAAAAAGACAAACAAATTTTAAATCAATACTAATCCTCAATGTTGAGAATTATACAGTATTTTAGTGTCGATGAAGGGTACATCCGCCGTACTAACATATTAATTGTTAATATATAAAATAATTTATTGGATTGTTATATTCATAAATTAAAGATGAGAACCTATTAATATGTCATACAAATGTTTTCGTAATTTAAATTATATAAAATTATTTTTTAAATTAATTCGATAGAGTTAGTTTTGTCTAAAAAAAAATTTCAATGTGATTGCTTTATCTTTAATAGAATTATAATAATAAATTTAGTTAAATTATAATTGTGAGAATATTGGTGAAAAGGGGTTAATAATATCGTCGTTTTAGATTAAAAAAAAAATGTTGAGTTGAGATTATTATTATAAGTGATCCATTTATGGGAATATAAAGTTGTGAGCGTGATCCACATTATTATTGGTTTCACATTTTGGAAGCCTTGAAGTAATTAATATTTACAATAGTAATGTTAAGAGTAAATTATAAATTAGCCCCTCTCATTTCAAGAAATGAATTAACTAGTCTTTCTCGTTTTAAAACTAATTATTTAATCATTTTTATTATTTATTATTTTAAGAAATAAAAAATAAGTAAAAAATATGGATAGATTGAAAAGAAAATAATATATTTTATAAAATAAAAATATTAAAATAGCCTCGATTAATACTAGATAAGAGAAGTAAATAATTGATTTTTTAAACTAGGAAGACCGAGTAATTCATTTTTTGAAAAAAAGGGGACTAATTTATAATTTACTCTTAGTTTTAGTTATTGGTTTTCATAGGGTAACATTTCTAGTAACAAGAAAAATAATAACAATAAAATTAAACTTGGTCGAAATGGTGGGATAATGTGTTCCAAACGATTTCTATATTTATATTTTTCAATGCGTAGTGTATTTTTTTAACTTTATGTAAATATATTATCCTTTATTATGAATTTCAGCACACCCAAGTTATCAAAAGAATAATTTCCAAAAAAAAAAAATTGTAAAGAATTACTTCAATTATTGTCTCGTAACACTAGTCATCTCACCATATTCATGTAAAGGGTAAGATTGGTAAATCAGTGTATTAATAGCTACTTTATTACTTTTGAAATTAATTAATTAATTAAAGACGAAATTGCAGTTAAAGAGAGCCATCGCTAGGGTGGATCCAGCCAGCCAAATTTGACAAAAAAAAAAAATTAACGAAGTAGGATAGAATATTAATATTGATTAGATCACCCGCCTGTCGTACTATACTTGCTTACCAGCACACTTCCCGAACATTCGCACAATTTTTTTGGAATTTCCTTGGGACCCATCTTGGTCCCAAGAGCCAGTAATATTAGAAGTTACCTCTCCACGCTAATAGAAGGTGCGTGCACAACACTCTCCGATCTATGAAAATATATTATTTCGCATAATAATTGAGAGGTAATTTTGCACTCTACGTTATTTGTGAGCGGTACATACTAATAAGATAAGGAACTATGTAAATTAAATATATTAAAAAATTATAATTCACAAAGTCATATATATATATTGTAAGTATTGGATTTGTATGAATTGCTTAATACTTTCTAATATTCATAAGTATCTGATTATATCATTTTATTTATTTTATTTTATAATCATTATTTTCTTCCTTCTTTTTCTTTTGGAGAAATTATTTCTAAAATATAAATTTAAATAGTTTTCAATATTGTTTTGGAATTTTTTGAAATTTTGTATTACTGTATATTTAAAAAAAATACAAGTATATGTATGTGTGTGTGTGTGTGTGTATATTGTAAATTTTTTGATAATTATTTTACAAATATTTATAATTATTTAAATAAAAAATATCACCACTAGAAATTAAAATTGTTTTATAAATATCAAGTATCAAGAATTAATAAAACTTTTCGTTAATTAATTTTGACTAAATTTTAACCAATAAATGAAATAGCAAAGAAAATTGACAAAATAAATGACATTTTTAATCAACAAAACATAATAAATAATGAAATAATCAAAATATTTCGTTGATTTCATATGGTATAAAACACATAAAAAACTATTATATTTCTTAAAATGACTAGAACACATCGAATGTAATGAAATTTATAAAAAAAAATTTTAAAAAAAACTTGTTTTTAGCAAATTAAAAAAGAACAAAAGTTTCACTTTCAAATTAGGTGATTAAAAATATTTATTCATTTTATCGACTTAGAAAGGTTAAATATCAGGATGTGAATTAAGAGAATTTATCCTTCTAAAAATATCAATAAAAAAAAGTGCAATCTTAAGATCATTTAAATAAAAAAAATTAATTTAAATCGATGCACAAGTTATTTAAAAATATAGAAAAAGAAAACAAAAAAAATGGTAGAAGAAGCGTATTTTTCTCAAAGATTCCAAGGTTTATTGCACGCCCTATGAAAAGAGATTTTGGAAAGTACTGCCTTTTTTGTCTCGGCTTGACAAGTTGACATAGACCAGCACATTAGGAGTGGCCCGTCATGCGCACGTGACAGATATTAAGGACGTCATCACGCGCACGTGCTAACATATGGCGTCTTAATTTCTTGTTACTTAAAAAAGTATGTAAACGACTTTGACTTTAGTAAACTGTTATCACAGGAAAAAAGAGTAAATCCGACATAAAAGTCAATATTTATTTCGGCTTCAATGATAAAGTCACAGTGACTTCAAGTTGTTGCCTCTTCGATTGTTTAAAATATCAATTTTTCATTTTTAACTTCATTTTCGATTAGTTTTTGATTTCCCATCTAAATTTACCGGTATGAATATTCGAATTTACATATTAAAATTCTGTATTTTTTTAAAAAAAAATTGAGACACTTTACTTTTTTTTATTTGATTAAAATTCTCATTTTTTGAAATTTGTTTTTTCAAGTCATATGTCATAATGTTAACGATCAATAATCAACTCGTCGTTGAAATTTTTTGTTTTACAATGTCAAATATCAATAATTGATTGATGGCATTATAATAACAAGTCTAAAGCAATAAATCTCGAAAAATAAAAGATTTTAATCAAACTAAAAAAAGAATCTCAGTTTAAAAAATTTTAAAAAAAATGCATAATCCAAATAAGATAAACCCTAAAAGAATTGTTACAACCTTCTTTAGAATTAAAATTGGTGCGCCGAAAAAACCTAATTGCTTTCCAAATAATATTTATAACTAATAATACGGCTGGAAATACTTTTTAGTCAGAAACGAGCTAAATTGATGGCATTTTTTTCTTATTGAAAACGCATATCTGATTTAAAAGGCAAAACTTTGTGTGATTTTCTAAAACAAAGTAGGAAAAGGTGATAAGGTGGTCTTTACTGCTCTCATATGGAGCCCCTGCTTTTGCTTTTTCCAACCACTACCTTTAAAAATATAAAGTGAACAATTGAGCTCATGGGCGTCCTTAAGCTCAAGCATGTTTCCCATGGGGGGTTTTTATTTGCGTTGATCCATATCTTAATTGTCAAGGAAGATCCCATTTCACTCTAACGTTACCCCATCCAGCATTTAAAAGACAACAAGACCTGCCTACTTTTAGTTTTATATATATATATATATATATATATTATGAAAGAGCAACATAAATCATATTTTGAAGTCTTATCTAATAGTTTAAACTATTAGATTGAAATGATTTTTATGACATGATTCAAAATCTTAATAACTAAACGATAATGAATTCCTCACTTAATGGTTTAAATTAATGTGATTATATATATATATAATGAGGTCAAATACAAAACAATAAATTGTCCGCATGTCGTGCTTTTAAAATGAAGCATATCGAGAGGGAGTAAATTATAAATTAATTCTTCAAATTTTGAAAAATTAATTAATTAATTTTAAAAAAACTAATTATTTAGTAATTTGATTAGTGCAAATCATTTTTAATTTAATGTTATTTTATTTTAAAAAATGTCCAACTTTTTTCATTAATTCTTTCATATTTTTAACTTGTATTTTTTTTTTTACAACTAAAAATAAATTAAATTAAAAAAGATCTAGTTACAAAAAAATTAAAATATAAGGACTAATTTTTTTAAAAACTAAAATAACTAATTTATAATATACTCTATTGATAGGGGTTTACATGAGTTTGGGGGGGGGGGGGGGGGACGTTGAAAAGAGGGTTTTCCCATGCCTTTGAAGGGATTGTAATTTCCCCTCCGTTATCAAGCATGTTTTTTTTCTTTGGATTCCTCGCAGCTATTCAAAAAAAATTTTATATACATAAAAATTCGAATTCAAGACTACTTGTTTAAGTAGCTAGAGCTTTTTTCACTCAAACCAACCATCCTAAGTCAAACTTGTTGCTCTTTCTTGAAAAATGAAACCATTAAAAACAAAAAATTATTAGAGATAATGTTTAATAATTTTTAGAAAACGAGTGAATAAAACAAAACTTAAACTAGAAAATACCGTATAAAACAAGACTACACTATAAAAGTTGAGGAAAAATTAGGACATGTATGCAACAACACAAAAATTAGCTTTTGTTTGATATATATGTGTGTGTGCACGCGTGCCTTAAGTATTATATAAACGGTACTAGTTCCAAGTAACAAATGCTATTATGAATTAGAAGGAAAGGT